CCCCTAAATGGTGTCACCCGGTGCGATCCGCATCCCTCGCCCCCCCCCCCCTCGCTACGCCACTGGATCTACTACAGTTGTGATGTTATACAGTAGCTAACACATGCTGTTGCGTAAAAAAAAAAATAATGTCTGAGCTGTAGTGTGAAAGATAGGCAATCGTTCAAAACACTTCCCTGACTTATTTCCCTTTTTAACACGTTTTTCTTAACTCAGCTTCGCGTTTGTGGATTTGTTTGTTGTTAAAATTGACAACGAAAATTAGCCCACTTCTGATTGCTCTAGAGATCTTAAATTTGGCATGCAGGCTACTTTCGCCTAACAATTTCAGATGCAATCATAAAAACTAGCAATTAGAGACCGTAATTAGCTTAATTTAATTACGCCCCAAGGACCATAAAATTGAGGACATGATTTCTAAAGATACCGACAAGACTGGAGGCCTATTGACACAGTTACTTCGGCCCCAATCGATGTGAGCGCGCTGGCCGTGATCGTATAGTGGTTAGTACTTCGCGGTGTGGCCGCGACAACCCAGGTTCGAATCCTGGTCGCTCAAGATTTTTAGTCCGTGTATTTATAAACACTTAGTCAAGTCTTACTTAATCAAGTCATTAGATAAAGTAGAAAATAAACTATATAAAAAACTTTTTTAAAAAACACGTTTTTCATGTGTAGCAACGGACTAAAAAGGAGAAAAAAAATACTTTAAAAAAACTTTTTAAAAAACCACGTTTTTCTTGTGGACTAAAAAGTAGAAAATAAATTTTTCTTTTGTGCTTCCTCGAGCTGTGCAGGTTCTTGTGATGACTGACAAAAAACGTGGGTCGGGCAGATGGGTCGGGAAATTTGATGGTGAACGTACCCACGTTTTTTGTCAGTCATCACAAGAACCTGCACAGCTCGAGGAAGCACAAAAGAAAAATTTATTTTCTACTTTTTAGTCCACAAGAAAAACGTGGTTTTTTAAAAAGATTTTTTAAAGTATTTTATTAAATAGTTAAATAGGGGTGCTCAAAAGCTCCTTTTAATATATTTGTACTAAACAAATTAAAGAGCAATTACTTCTCTTAATATTTTTTTTTTAAAATACAAACTAAAGACTGACATAGCATAAAAAGGAAATATATTCAAAACAAATAATATAAATACAGAAAAACATAAAAATAAACATAACACGAGAAACCATTACACATACAAAGCTTTCTCGTTTTTTTTTTGTTTTTTTTTTTTGTTTTTTTTTTGACCGGCTGAAAACTAGAGGGTCGGCTGTATTACAGCAAAAATATTGAATAAACGAGTTCTAAATCTTTTTAAAAAAAAAATTCAAACAGACTAATGCACTCTCTCACATGACATTTTGTAATCAATATATATATATATATTTCTCTTCTTGGAGACGTTAGAAAACAAGCTGTAAGCGCCTTGCAGTCCCCTCTCTCCTCTCTAGAAAGTCTGGTGAGCTGTGGTTCACGCTAAATGTTTACATTCGTAGAGCCGGGTTTAGTGACGGCTATTAGGGGCAGATAATTTAGTTTGAAACGATTTTAAACTTAGGGGAGGTAGCTAACAGGAGGCTGATTTCACGGGGGGGGGGAGTTAGGGGTTGGGGGAAAGGATGGGGGGGGGAGGGTTATCATCCTTAAAAACGTACTGATTGTTTTTTAAAGCAAATATTTTCAGTGGCAGCAATGGTACTGTCGAATTCACAAATTATGAATTACTGAAAAGTAGAAAATAAAAAAACTAAATAGAGGCGTATGATATCGGGTCTACTACAGAACAGCATCTCTTGGCTGTCCACTAGCTCACAGAGACGCCCCATGTCTGTCTCCTCTAGACCTAGCTATCCGAGTCCGTCTCCGTGTGTGAGTGACTTGTGAGTCCCCCTGAGTGTCCCCTGAGTGTGCCGTCTCCGCCTCCTTAAATAACGGACTCACCAATGTCCAGGTGCGGGGCTAATTATGCACCAACACTTCCTACTCAAGCCTAACCTAATTAAATGTCGCCAACAGGTCTGGGGTACCTGATTAAAGTGTCAGACCCTGCTAATATACTACCCCCATTACGGTCACCCAGGCCAACTAGATACGTGTCTTCTACACCTACCCCCATTGATGCCGTCGTCCGTAAATGTAACCTAATTCTAACACGTACCTCGTTGATTGTCTCCATCTAGACCTGTTCAATCTGGGTCACGTCTGTCGTCAACCCTACACCTGCTATATACGCCCCCACGGTCGTAACAATATATATATATATATATATATATATATAGGCCTATATATATATATATATATATATATATATATATATATATATATATATATATATATATATATATATATATGTCTCTCTTATATATATATATATATATATATATATATATATATATATATATATATATATATATATGAGGGGTCCCAGAATTTTTTTTTGCGGGGTGGCTCTTTTTTTCTAGTTCCGCCACTGTAATGAGATAATTATTGTATTTATCTAAATCTTTTAATTTTGAACATTTCAGACGATTATCTAATTTTAATGTTGATTTTGTGATCACTCCATGACGCGTCGTTGTAAAACGCATGCAAATTTGATTTTTAATAGGGCTTGTAAGTCTCGTTTTCTCTCACTTTGAATTAGAAATCTCGTTAGCCAGGGAAAGATTTCTATTTTCAAAATAAATTAATTGTTGGCACCACAAGATCTCAAACAGAATTTCAAAGTAGAATTCAACTACATTATCTTGGATATGGGTATATAGTCTATTGAACAGAGATTCCAACAATTTGAACATTATATTCTATTTGGAATCCTTTATGAAATGTACAACAAAAAGACACCTGCAGATATACTTACTGACTGCAAATATTTTGAAACGTTGACGCTTAACGCTTATATTTAATAAAGATATTGATACTGATGATCTTTGCAATGAGCTTCAAGCAGCAACAGAGTTTCTTCCAGGCATCTCTTCGGGGGTGAGGGGGAGTCGTCCCCCCCCCCCCCCCCGAAGAAAGTCTACTGTCCCCCCCCCCCCCCCGAACGAAAGGGAATTTATATAGAAAATATATACTTTTACTAGTGTCCGCCCCCCCCCGGAAAATGTTAACCGCCCCCCCCCTTTTCCATAGGTGAACGGAAAAAAAGTCACAGGAAAAAAACACAGAAAAAAGTCACAGTTTTCGCTAGGAAAAATTTTATCGGAAAAAAAGTCACAGAAATAAAGTCACAGAAAAAAAGTCACAAAAATCTTTTTAGAAATTTTTTTATTTATTTGTTAAGAATTGTAAAATGTATGTTTATTGTTGTGGATTGTATTTTTTGATAGCATAAATTATTTATAGACGTTAAAAGTATTATGGTTTATAAAGATTTTAAGTAAAAATACTCTAAGATAATTTACACAACAATCTCAACTTTTGTTACGTATTTAGTTAAAACGCGGTAGCAAAGTTAACTATAAAAGAAATTAAGGCACATTATTGTGTTTTTCATATGTTTTGCCGTAGGCTATTCTCTGGTCGGCCTCCCCTCAGTAGGGGATGTTTTGTGTCAATGACAGCATTTGAACCTTGTCGGCTCCCTGTTTCGGTTCTAAGTTTTATTATGTAATGAGCGTGATAAATGTGGACAGTAAAGGTGGTTGAACTAAGCATAACTATTGTTGCGATCTGTCGATCTCTATCATCTTGGTTTAATATGACCCTTGGCAGTCGAAATAAAGGAATCCCTTTAGATCTGCCACTTCGAGTATCACAACCTTTCATCGCACAGATCACCATTTTGAATGTAGATCTGTACACCGAGATGGCGGATGTTTACATTCACGAACGGACGTGACGTCATATGAAAGGACTCTTATAGATCTACTTAAAAACAACATAATGACAAATGAATAGCCAGATTTTTAACGGAATCATTTAAGTCACTTAATCAGTGTGTGCCTGTGTTATGTTAAGGGTGTCGGATTTTTAGCTAATTAGTTATTTCTTTGCTTTGTCACTAATATCGTTCAGTGTGTAGTAAAGCACATTGCGTTTTCACCAGTAACTATTTCATAATTTATCTTTCTCTAACAAGTACAACATTTTAAAATATATAGGCCTATAATTTACGTGAAACGGATACCGATGGCTATATATATATATATATATATATATATATATATATATATATATATATATATATATATATACATAAGTAGTATATCAGGTCTCTTTTGATTATTTGGAGGGGGAGCAGGAGCAAAGACATATAGGAAAATACTCCAGGCCCTGCAGGGTGAGCAGGAGGTGTGGGTGGGGGTGGGGGGGGGCAGATGTGTCGTGGGGAAGGTGAGGGTGGGAGTGGTTGCTTGTTTTTAATTAGTTTGTTTTTATTTTTATTTTGCAACTAGCTTCATGCCGACGAAATAACTCCATATCTTTTTACTTTCTCGTATATACGAAGTATAGAGTCTTGTAATCGTGCAAAAAAAATAAAACGAGATTTTTGCAAATCTCAATGTTTAGGGCTCCCTGAGTCGGAAAAACATAGTTTTGCAATCTTGTCCGTATGTCTCACTGTGTGTATGTGTGTCTGTGTGTGTGTAAACACGATAACTTGAGTACCGTTACAGCTAGGTTGGTGAAATTTTATACATAAGTATTATATCAAAATCGTAGATTACATATAATTAATCCTATGTTAATTTGCAACCTCTGAATATTTAATACATAAAAGTATTAACGAATTCCATGCAAACATATTTTGTGTTTTTTCCTGTGACTTTTTTTCCTGTGACTTTTTTTTCTGTGTTTGTTTTTCCTGTGGTTTTTTTTTCCTGTGACTTTTTTTCCTACAATCTTTAAAATCGTATCATCATAAAAGTTCTTTATATTTGTTTTATAACGTATATATATATTTTTATATAGGGACTAGCGTTATTTATTATTTCTTTCGTAAAGCGTTTTAGAGGCCTAGGTAGTTGCTATTTTTAAATCGGAAACGGAAATACTATCTTCAACTATCGAAACACTTCCTTTTCACTGAAACAGATTGTGAAAGTGTACTGTTCTCCAACGAGCTAAGGCCTATCCGGCGACGTACACTATTTTTTTACAGTCATCTATTTAAAATCTTTTAAAAAAACATAGAAATGGCCGGAGAAGATGAACTTGCATGCGTTTATGCCGCTCTTATTTTGGCAGATGATCAAGTAGCAATCACAGTAAGTTGTGTCCACGCATTTTACTATTTGTATTTTACTAACCATGCATGTGAACAATGTAAGGTAATCTTTCGTTTTGGGTACGTAAAATCGCCCGCGACTAGTATTGTGAAAAACAGGTGACTCCTTAAATTTTAATAATTTCACATTTTGAGGAGAATTTGTATTTAGAAAAATACAGTTTCCTTGTTTCATTTTGATTTATGCACCTGTTTTTAAACGATTAAATTAAAACTTTTCAGTAATAAATTAAGACTAGCGATGTTTCCAACAGATGCAACCATGCTCATGTACTAGGGGAGACTGCTCAAACTTCGACCGATTCGTTTTCGCTTCTCTTCTTACTTCTTTATAACTCGTAAGCTAATCAACATAGCGGTTTCATTTTTTCACTATTAAAAACGTTATCATTTGCTGATTGGTTCAGTATAAATTAGGTTAAATTATGGATTTTTTAAAATAAAATATTCTGTTATTTCAAATACACCATTAAGTTCCTTACCCCTTAAGAGAACATTTGACACCACATTTAAATATCTAGCTTACTCGGTTGACGAGAAAAGAGAGAATTTGAAAATTAATCAAAATTGAAAATGAATGACAAAACAGCGTTCTTGGCATAACATGACGTCGTCGACTTGTGTACACGAGCTTTTAATTCCCGCCAAGGTAATTGCGTCAGCTTAGGTAATTTACTCACCGGAAAATAACAAAAAGCAACTGGTTGATAATAAAACTAGATCTAGTTATTTTATTATTTATTAAATTCTACTCTACATGTTATTCATACCATTTTATGAAGTAATGAACACCTGCATAAATCAAATTACCATAATAAATATTTTTATTTCAAATTCTAATTTTAAATAATAAATAATAAATATGCTTAAAATAATACGATAGTAACAGTTATGATCGTTTATAAATACAAATACATTTTACACTCAATTCACATTATATTGAGTCAACAGTGTGGCAGCTGAGGCTCATACATGGTATTTTTTTTTTTTTTACATTACATTTTTTTTCATCTTGAAAACATGACGTATGTGATTTTTTTTTTTTAAATCTCCAAACATCGTCACTCGCGTGATTGCTTGCTTACGTTTACTATCCTGTGGATGAAAAATCCCACCACGGTCGCGGGTCACCGTGAGTTCAGCAGGCCTATAGTACACGTCATAGCATGAACACGCGTACACGAGATGGTCGGTGTCTTCACTTCTCTCTCTCTTTCCCCCCCCCCCCCCCTCCCTCTAGCCAATTGAAAAACAGACCTACTTCCCTACTTCTGGTTATTTTTTTTAAAAGTTCGGTCATTTTTTTTTTTAAGTTCACATATCAGGCATGCAAGACAGCCAGCCAGTGGCGTAGCGAGGTCGGGTGTCACCCGGTGCGGCACTTAATGGTGTCAGCCCCCCCCCCCTCCCCCAAAGGCGTAGCGACTCTTCCCGGGGACAAACTTTCTTTCAAATTTTCGATTTGCACCCCCCCTCAAGTTTTCGATTTGCACCCCCCCCCCCCCCCTGCAGCCAGCTGTATTAAAAAATATTTTTTAAACTAGATCTTCGTCTAGCTTAAAAAAATAAATAAACGCTTAAAATGCCCGTAAACAGATTATTTAGCGCCAAAAAAAAAAAAGGCCGCTGAACGAGCATTTTTTAAAATACGCAGCAATGAAAAGGGCTAACGGCCGATCAATTAAGTCTAAAAAACGCCCGTAATTAGGCCTAGCTCTGAAAAAGGCCACTGAACGAGCATCACTAATTATATAAACGAATAGGCCACGCAGCGTTGACGAGGTTAACCACCGGTCACGAATTAAATTCAATGCAGCTACTGTCGGCCCACAGTGAAGAAAAAATCAATATACTAATAAAATTACTAATACAAAAATAATTTCCATAATTTTACTTTTTCTGCACACGCTACAATTGAATTATAATTAAAATACTAGACTTAACAGTTCATTCCGCAAAAAACAAAAACGAGTTGTTTCTGTGAGGTAACTAGCGTAACAATGACGTCACGATAGTAAACAAAGCGGACAGAAATGTCTGCATATAATTTCCATAATTTTACTTTTTCTGCACACGCTACAATTGAATTATAATTAAAATACTAGACTTAACAGTTCATTCCGCAAAAAACAAAAACGAGTTGTTTCTGTGAGGTAACTAGCGTAACAATGACGTCACGATAGTAAACAAAGCGGACAGAAATGTCTGCATGGGTACCTCATATGGAAATTCGATATAAAAAAGGCGAATCAACATAACTGTAATTACTCATTATAAATATCTCAATTATATATTTCTGCATTTGTACCAGGGGGTTTCGACCATGTACTGGGCCGTTTAAGGCGGCAGTTCAGTTTTTCCCAAGAGTACTTGACAAGAATAGTGTGTATTAATTAAAACCACATATCTGGCGATTTTTTTTGGTTATTTTCAGGCATGGCGTCCATTTATTTAGCATATCGCATTAAAATAATGATGAGAATTTGCGATATTAGCAGTTTTTTCATTGGTCGTGGATAGGACCCCTAAAATAAACGTAAAAACCGTCAAAAAACGACGCGTGACGTTTCAGGGTCAGAGGTCAATCCAGCCATATAAGCAACAATCCGGCCTAGTATAAATAGTTAACCAATCACAAGGGAGAATATAAATGCTATATGCAAGGCTAGACACTGACCCCACTTCGTTCTGTTTGGTTTTAACTTTGACCGGGTTGCTCAAACTTCGACCAGCAGCTTGCTCTAACTTCGACCGCTATAAGCCTATAGGGTAAAGTTCCGCGTGAGATCAAAACCTCGGTGGGATCACATTCCTGTTTATCGCTTCGTATATTTGTTTGGATGTTTTATACGAAACTACCAATATCTGCTGTAAACATGTCCATTTCTAATTATATCCAGGTCAAATTCTTTTGTTTCCCTCCTTCTGGAAGACTAGTTTTTAAATTTTCAAGTTTCGAGGTATGACGTCGTCGGCCATTCTAGTTCCCCCCTTTGAAAAGCACTAGGTCCCGGATGAGATGAATAAAACCAACCAATCAAAGCTTTTATAACTAGGTTAACTATAAATAGCTTCTATTTATGTGCGGGATACTGAACATACTGTAGTTAAGGCTATTAAAACAATCTTGGAGGTGAAATGGGGGTGATCTCAGCTGGGGTAACGATTTTTGTGTTTTAACCTCGCTGAGTACACCTACGACTTGAGGTAGACTAGCCTAGATCTAGATGCTCTATATTAGTTTTTCTTACTAAATCTAGAATTTACTCAAATTTCAAATTAAACATGACTACTGAATGATAGACATCCATATTTAATCCATTAGGCACTAATTTTGAAGTTTTTAGTTCATTTTAAACTAAATTACTTAATTTAATATTTATTGACACTCACTGCCATGGCCAACACACCTCTCCATGACAACTCTACTTAAGCTTGAACGTAAAGAAAACCACAAATAGGTTAGACTTTTTAAGTGGCCATGTACCCAGAGTTCCCCACTAGTGATCATCAAATAGCGGTCACGTGGTTTAAAAAAATCAATAAATTTGGTTGTCATTCAAAAGTCGTGTCTTATTTTAAAAAGTGCATGCAATATTTGATTTATTTCTTCATATAATGATAAAACTAATAATTCTACAACCTCCAATTCATTTTTGTGACCTCCGGGCTGATATTTTAGAAGTTCTATTAATTTGAATGAGACCGACTTTTGAATTTAGCCTCCGTTCTCCAAACCAAATTTTAAAATGCTTTTCTGGCATATCTAACCCTGCCACTTATGGTTTGTTGTTATGACACGGAAATCCCGCCATTTTGCGCGTGGTAAACATTTTTAAATGTAATTAGTTGAAGGTCTCTGGAATTTGGCCGTAAAATCTCCGGAAATCAAACGTCCGGTCCGGGCGCCATATTGTTGTTAGCAACCGACCACGCCTCCAAGTTAGCGAGAAATACTACTCTATATTTCTAGCTAAGCCTAGAATCTGTATACTTTCTATTTTTTTCTGTTGTTTTAAATTATTTTAATCATCTACCTCTTCTAAATCTAGTTGGTGTCTCTCATCCAATCATATGTTAAGCAAATGTTATGTCTTGTTAGTGATTGTTACGTCCCTTTGTTTTGATTGTTATAGTTGCGTCCCTTGAGTCATCACTGGGTCATCCGTAATGTGTAGTTAATAAATTTAATTAACATGTTTTTTATTTGGTTTTGCAATCTATTAATCAATTATACAATCAACATTACATTTAAATGTGTAAAATGTTAAATCAATTATTAAAATTGGATCAAAACGTAAAAAATACGCTAGTGATCCCAAGCACGGACAGTTGATCCCAAGCAGGTTCGTCACTAAAACATGAATATCTCAAATACCATGCGTATGAATACAAAATACATCATGCATATTAGAGTAGAATGGCAGTGGAGTAATAAAGTACTTTCGGTTTGTTTCAGTGTGAAACGGTTACAAAGCGCCCGATCAAAATCGGGAGTTTGGAATTTTTCGCTATGTGTGATCTCACGCGGAACTTTATATACATTATTGTTTTATTCATATGGGAAAAGGCTTAAAATTGTAAATAGATTAGGGCATTATAATAAACAATATGCAGATCTATGTTATGGTACAAATATTTAATTTGTAGAAACTAGAGACTAGAGATGGGACAGAAAGGGCAGGGTGGGGGCATAGATCGTTAGGTCCTTCAATAATTATGTCAGTTATATTTAAGTATAATGAAAAAGAAATGCTCAGCTGATTAAATTATTTAATAAAACTATAGATAAACGTGATAGTACATGCAAAGTTATGTTTTAGGGTCAAGTTTTTCAGTCGGTCGAAGTTAGTACTATGCCAATTTCAAGTGGTTTTAACTTCGACCGATTTGTTTTTCAAATTTATTTTTTACATTTTTGTTTAAATTAAAAAAATAAAAATACACACATATAGGACTGCCTTTATTTACAAACGCTTTTTAAAATTTTATTGTATGAATTAATTGTAATTTGAGCATTGTGAAGCACGACACTCCTAAGACAGCAAAATCTCAATTCGTGATTTTCCCGTGATAGAATTCACTGACAAGTTGTGCCTTAAATTTGCCGATCAGAAGCGCAGAAATGGTTAAAATAGTCATGACCTTAGAAAAAGAAAAAAGAAAATCCCCCACAATTCAAATATGTTACTAAATGTATAATTTATTTTGTCAAATGGCAAGTATTATTGGTTCTACTTTCCAAAATCTAATTCCAAAATGAGGTACCCACGCTGACATTTCTATCCGCTATTTTTAGTATCATGACGTCATTGCTACGCTAGTTGCCAGACTGAAACAACTAGTTTTTTGTTTTTTACGGAATGAACTGTTAAGTCTAGTAATTTAATTATTATTAAATATTATTCAATTGTAGCATGTGCGGAAAAAGTAAAATTATGGACATTATTAGTAATTTTATTAGTATATTGATTTTTTCTTCACTGTGGGCCGACCGTTGCTGCATTCGTGACCGGTGGTTAACCTCGTCAACACCGCGTGGCCTATTCGTTTATATAATCAGTGATGCTCGTTCAGTGGCCTTTTTCAGCGCTAGGCCTAATTACGGGAGATTTTTAGACAATTGATTGGCCGTTAGCCTTTTTCATTGCTGCGTATTTTTAAAAAATGCTCGTTCAGCGGCCTTTTTTTTTTTTTGCGCTAAATAATCTGTTTACGGGCATTTCAAGCGTTTATTTATTTTTTTAAGCTAGGCGTAGATCTAGTTAAAAAAATTTTTTTTATATACAGCTGGCTGATATGACGCGAACTTTAAAAAAAATGACCAGAAGGGAAAATAGGTCTGTTTTTCAATTAGCTTGAAGAAGGGTGGGGGGGGGAGAGAAGTGAAGACACCGACCATCTCGTGTACACGTGTTCCATTCTATGACGTGTACTACAGGCCTGCTGGGATTTTTCATCCACAGGATAGTAAACATAAGCAAGCAATCACGCGAGTGACAATGTTTGGAGATTTTATTTTTTAAAAAAAATCACATACGTCATGTTTTCAAGATGAAAAAAAGATGCAATGTAAAAAAAAAAAAAAAGACACTACTACTCATGTATGAACCTCAGCTGCCACACTGTTGACTCAATATAATGTGATTGAGTGTAAAATGTAGATGTATTTATAAACTATCATAACTATTACTATCATATCATTTTAAGCATATTTATAATTTAAATGAAAATTTTATCAAACGCTGGGAGCATTGTACGGTCTTAAAGAGTTGAGCAAATTTTAGCTACTTCTGGTCATTTTTTAAGTTCCTTAATTTCAATAATAGCAAATAAAAACCCGAATTCGGCAAATACAGAAGTATTAAAAAGGGGGTTAGGGCATGGCTCAGTGGTGCGACTTTAGCTGCGAACTGCTTTTGTCACTGCATAGTTTCTATGCTTAAGGTAATTATGGAAAGGGATGGATTTTGGGAGTGTGCGAAGACTTTTTTTTTTTTTTTTAAAAATTCGATGTGTAGGAATTCAAAACGTAACATACATTGTTAGTAGAATAGTTGCTGAGTCAAATAGTTAAGGAATGAGACCTGGTTAATAGGTATAGTCTATACGATAGATATGTGTTCACGGAATATAGAAGCAAAGTTGGTAGCCCACGTTCCGGTAAATAATTTCCTTGCTAGTAGCCGTCTTTACACAACACTTTAACACCATGTCATCATGCAGTTAGTCACTCTTTACCCATCTAAGACACATCCTGAACACATCACATTACCCTACCCCTCTACCGACCACATTGTATGCATAAACTATTAAGAAATAGAGATAAACACCAAAAAAAAACAGTCCATGTTTTAGTAGAACAACAATTCCCATATAAAATTTGATTATCAAGCAAGGGAGAATTTTTTTTTTATATTACTCATTGGTCGCACTAAAGTATCTGCTAACACTCTGCAAAGGGGGGGGGACATGCTGAACAACTGAAATTGGGAGCCAGATCCTTGTGTCTGAATTTCAGTTTTACTGCACGGGATTTATCTGAAAATGCTATCTAGTAGACATTTGTGAAAACTAATTTAATTCTTCCCTGGTCTTTAAAAAGATTTTTTCTTGATTTCAGAGTGAAAAAATTTCCACTTTGTTGAAAGCTGCTGGAGTTTCTGTGGAGCCATATTGGCCAGGTATATAATTTTCAGTTGTAACAAATGTATAAAAAGTGTGTAGTAGCCTCTGGTGCATCTCTTTTTCTTAACCCTGATGATCTAGTGGCATGGTCCTAGTGGCTGGTATACCATCTTGTTATATATAATTAGCGGCGTACTGAATTAAACGGCGCATGTATTTTAGTGCTGGAGATGTTCATACATTGTAAAATTGATCCTGCGCCTGGATACCAAATTTGGCTTGATTATCTCAGATGGTTTAACAGTTATAGGCAAAGTAAGCAACAGATAAGTGAAGATCGGTTTTGACCTGGGAGCTCGGGAAATGGGAGAAATTAGGCTTGAATGATTAACTCTTACTTGTGTTTAGATTCTGATGTGATTTTATTCTTAAAGATTTTAACAGCTGTAACATATTATATTATGGATCTGCCCAATTAGTTTTTCTAAAGGGTATTCCAACTACATTTTTCTGGGCAGTAATTAATTGTTCCAAATTCATGCAAGATTTATAAGTTGTTGTCTGGTGCACCTGTAATGGGGTTGTGTATGGTTACATTATCTACAAGTCTTTATCTGTATTAAGGCTTTCACGTGGTGTAAATTTTTCTGAATACTTTTTGCTAGGTCTCTTTGCAAAAGCCCTGGAGGGTTTGAATGTTAGAGACCTGATTACTAATGTAGGAAGTTCTGCTGGTGCTGCTCCTGCAGCATCTGGTGCTGCACCTGCTGCTGCTGCAGAAACAAAAGCTCCTGCTGCAGGTGAGATGATTACACCAAGTATTTCTAGTTTATGATAATGACCTCTCCTAATTACCTGCTTTATGACAATTTTGCACCCTGTTAATTTGCAGAAGAGAAGAAAAAAGAAACTAAAAAAGAAGAGTCTGATCAGTCAGATGAAGACATGGGCTTTGGTAAGAGTCTTTCATTTGTAGTTCTTTTCACCACTTCATTATTTGCGCTAGGAAATGTAATACAAGAATGCGCAACATTTTTCCATTTTAAAAACAAACTGACAGTTCTAGCATTTTTTGCTATTGTTTTGCCAAGTTGAGCTTGTTTTCGCGTAATCTGTCATTTCTGCATTATCGAAATTCAAACAATCGGATTAAGTTGATTCTATTGTGTTGTGTGTTTAAGCTATTACAGTTAGCATTCAGAATATTTTGAACTCTTGATTATAGAGATAACACTGAGGTACTCCGTGGTTGCATCATGAAATTAACAATAAATGCTGTTTAATACATTATTACAGGGGTCGGCAACCTGCGGCTCGAGAGCCGCATGCGGCTCTTTTGATATCGAGATGCTGCTCTCCAGCTCCTTAAACAAATACTAATATTAATAATCTTAATTAAAAAAAAAAAATATTTGAAATTTAAAAAAATGTTAGAGGCTCTTTAAAACCAGGGAAATTTTGAAAATTGTAACTTTTGGCTCTTCCGCTTCAAAAGGTTGCCGACCCCTGCATTATTATATACTTTCATTGAGAATACGTTTCTTTTAATAAGCACTTTTTGTGCCTTTGTAATTATTAAAATGATACTAATTTTAAAACAATTTAGAAAAGCTGTTGTAGGTAACCTACCTTAGCACAAGGACTGGGGAAGGGTTCTGAGATATGCTTTAGTAGCAAATGAGTTCATAGCTGACATACCATAACATTTTAATCATCCTTGATAGGGATTTATGAGATGCTAATTTTAAACCATAGTTTTTAGAACACCTGGTTGTGGGTTAATTGATCAGTGGGATTTTCTGGTATTCTAACATTTATTTTACTTATTTTGTTTGTCATGTTAATTCTTTTTGTGTAACTGAACTTTTTTTTCTCTGCAGGTCTGTTTGATTAATTCATGGGTCTAGATTGTTTCAATAAATATTATTCAACCTGATTTGTTTTTTCTTCACTTTTTTTTTTGTTTGTGGCTGTCATCAGGTTAAAAACTGCTTGAATGTTAGAAAATTAGCTGTACCGGGATTTGTGGATGTTTTTTTTACAATACTTTCCTTAATGTTTACATTTTATACTACTAAAGATTTTTCAGCTGTGAAATGAGCTCCTTATTAGTGCTTGTGCCAAAGTAAATGTAATACAACTGTCCTTGCTACTGGAACTGCTAGCCGCTTACCTATTTGTAAGTGTACTGTTTAGGTCAAATAGATGTACTAACTAAATGAAAGTTTTTACTAAAACCAGCTTTTTTGAAAGTTGCAATGTCAAGTACTTTTGATTCGAAGTAAGTGGGCACTAAATTTTTTAAATATATATCTCAGTAGTAGTAGGAAAAAAAGGTTATGGCATCTAACACTTTAAAAAGTTAAGAGTTGTGTCTCGTCAAATTTTTTTCAGGCCTCCATAATAAAAAGATCTACATCATTTATATTTATTGAAATTTAATGAAATTGGCTTTTCTCACTTTTTGAATAATTGGAAGGGAACTAAAGCTTTTTTTGAAACATCACTACAAATAAACGGAGTGATTTCCCCTAAAAATTCTTTGGGAATGGCAACTCTGGATATGCATGTACTGTAGACGAAAATTTTAAAAATGTAATAGAAATCTCGTAAAGAAAAGAATTGCGCAAAAAATGAATGTTTAACAAAATGTGTATAATACTAATAATAGTGCGGAATATTATTAGTACTTTATAAAAAATTTTTTTTTGAGAGTTCGGAAACCGCGTAAATTACTACTATGTACTTTATAAATATATTAATACTAATAGTTTCGCTGTCTCTCTATCTATCTGTCTGACAAGAACGCTCTAGAGAAAACACAAGGAAAATAAAAACATGCATAGTAATTCGAAAAACGAAGTATGACGTCGACACATTTAGCGCACAGAGTTGAAAATAATCTCAAGCCGGATAGTGCACACATTGATATGACGTCATTGATTTGGTCTAATCTAAGTGGTTTGCGTGAAGTTTCTTTCATACAATTCTTCGGGTAGGGGCGAAGCCCCACCCCCGCGTAAGAACGTCTGAGCCCCCCCCCTCTCCCCAACTCAAAAGAAATTTCCTCATCGATACTCTATAATAAAATTACCGCCTAATTAATGTGTCTAATCTAAAAAGTGGTTTTCTTGCAATTTCTTTAATGCAATTCTTCGCGTAGTGGCTATGCGCGACACCAGTGTTTCTTTCAGACTTTTTTCTCCACGGAGAGGGGTGAGGGTACTTGAAATTTTCGGGGGCGGGGGTAGAATTTTCGGGGAGGGGGCGGACACTGGAAAAAGTAAATAATTATATTTCGTTGAATGGGACGGTAGACATGTTTTTTAGGGAGGGGGGGGGGTGGGGGGTGGTTTTAGTTTAGAGAAAAGAGACAGCACTATCAGCCTAGCGCCCGGTGTATCCTTCCTCAACGGGCCATTTTTCTCGTATATTTATATGCGTTTAAGATTACTAAGGTTTTGACCCCTCTCTCATTGAACTCTGGCCTTTTTTGACAGTTAAACGCGTTTTTTACAAATACCTGCAAAATGTACAGAATTGAATAGCCTTTAACTAAATTTTAAAAATGTATAATAAACTAAATATTAATTAATACTAATAGTTTCGCTGTCTATGTATCTATCTGTCTGACAATAACGCTCTAGAGCAGTGGTTCCCAACCTTTTTCGAGTGGCGACCCCCATAAAATTAAAAAGCCGAAATTAGTATGGAAATTAATAAGCACTAAAGTAAGATTTTCTAGTAGACTTTCAATATGAACTACTCTTGATAACTGTTTAAATAGCATGAGTAAAATTGTATACTATTCACTTAACCTTCGTGGTTAACTTTTTAATTAAAAAATAAAATTTTGTTAACGCCAACCTATGTCATTATAATTATCTTAATTTTGTTTTTAATCAAAGAATATTGTTGAAAATATATTATCGAAAAGTCAATCAATTTTACGTTTGGGTATGAATAGTGAATACTACACCAAAATTGTGTCTGCAGTTTTTCATCTTACTCGGAATCATTCTGTAAATTAAAGAATCCATCTTGTAATTCATCGGGAATGCTGGCAACATCAAGGGAAGAAGAGAATGGGTAATGCGTAAATGCAGATTCTTTTTTCAGCTCAGAGAAATAACGATGCGGTTCGTTTTCAAGAGATTCAAGATGCACAGAAATCGCTTCTTTCAAAATTTTAATTATCTCACAATCAGATTCATCTACCACACCGCAGAGTTTCTCAAATTTACAATATTTCCAAGATTTGTTTTATTTACCGATTTTGCAGCTTTGATAAAAATGCCCCGAGATTATCATGGAAAGTTATAATATTCGTTCATTTTCCCTGAAGCTTCAGGTTTAAGCTTATCTTGATGTTCGAACACATCTACTAGGTATGATACTCTCTCCAACCACTCTGTCGTTTTAAGTATACCAAAAAGTCTTGTTTCCTTTGCACTTCCAAGAACAATTTGAGTTCAGATATCAATTCAAAAACACAACTTTTCGTTTGACAGCCAGCGTACTGTAGTGTAGAGGAGAGCAGAACGTCGTGATCTATTTTGATGTTTTTGCTCAGTTCTTTGAAGGCTCCAGATTTTATGTAATTTACGACTTTTACTAGCAATGAAGTCTTGATGGCGATTGGTTAGGGAAAACGTGGGGCGCCGAAGTAAAAGTTATATTACTATTGATTAGATAATACTATTGACTTTTATTAGGGAGCTTGTAGAGAGTCAACAGTATTAGAAACTGTAAGAAAATCACGGCGCCCCACGTTTTTGATCGCTTATAGTAGAGTGATCGCTTGCATTATTGTGATGTATAGCATTTATTTTCTACTTTATAGTTCAATCAGATAACGTGGGTTTTTAAAAACTTTTTTAATGATTATTATTTTCTACTTTTTAGTCTTTGTCTGTTTGTTTGCATTAAAATCTTGCTATCGATTTTATCTTTTCACTTTTTTTTTTGGGTAAACGAAGACAACTCGTAAAAAGACAACTCATAAAAAACACGTTGTGTGAATACGTTACTGACTAGAACACATAGATTTGAACCCGTGTCGAGTGGGATAGCAATCGTGTGCTCGACCATATCGTCTCCCCCATACTGGCCACCAGTTGTTACGGTTGTTTGTACACAAATTACAGTTACTGGGTTATGTCTCTTTTCCCCCACGTTTTTACTACAACGAGCCGACCCGCGGCGTATCATACGCCGCTATTTAGTTGATTTATTTTCTACTTTCAGTAATTCATAATTTGTGAATTCGACAGTACCAATGCTGCCACTGAAAATATTTCCTTTAAAACACTAACCCCCTCCTTTCCCCTGACCCTACACCCCCCCCCCCGTGAAAGCAGTTACCTCCTGTAAGTTTAAAGTCGGTTCAAACTTAATTATCTGCCCCTAATAGCCGTCACTAAACCTGGCTGTACGGTTTGTAAACATTAACGTGACCACAACTCAGCAGACCATGTGGGGGTGGGGTAGGGTGGTACTGGTAGTGATAGAGAGAAAGAGAGGGGACTGTAAGGAGGCGCTTGCAGCTTGTTTTCTAACGGCTCGCAGAGGAGAATTATATATATAGATTATATAGCGGACTAAAATGCTCAATAAAATGTTTCCATGGATCAATTTAGTAATAATAACAATTGAATATTCTATTGTCATCCAAAACAAAGCTTCCCTGAAAATTTCAGCGCGCTAGCTAACTGGGAAGTGCCAGAAATTTCGATCGCAAGATTTGATTGGAAAGATGGAGACGAAAGCAAGTTAAAGAAAACGTGGGAAAAAACAAAGCAGAGGTCATCAGAATCAATAACACCCAGGACCTGCCCATACAGCTAAATGGAGAAGATTTACGTGAAACAACACATTCACATACCTGGGAAGCGTGATCAATAAGGACGGGGGAGCAGACGAGGACATAAAATGCCGTATCAACAAGGCTAGAGTAGATGTGCCTTCAACTCGCTGCGCCCGATGTGGAGGTCCACGGCCCTGTCACTCCGGAGCAAAATTGGGATTTTCAACACGAATGTTAAGGCAGTGCTACTCTATGGCTCGGAGACCTGGAGGGTTACGAAGACAAATACTGATAGGCTACAGGCGTTCGTAAACAAATGCTTACGACATATACTCAAAATAAAATGGCCAGACAAAATATCAAACAAAAACCTGTGGCAAATTTTAAAACAACAGCCGATAGAGAAAGATATTAAGGCCCGTAAATGGGGATGGATCGGACACACGTTAAGAAAAGAAAACATTGCAAAACCTGCATTGGCCTGGAATCCCCAGGGGAAAAGGAGGGTGGGCTGGCCAAGGAAAACATGGAAGAGAACGGTTGAGGAGAAGGCGAAAACAGCTGGGCTCTCATGGGCACAGATTGGAGGGGCAGCCCAAAACAGAGTCCGCTGGAGATGTGTGGTTGCAGCCCTTTGCTCCCCAGGGGCCACAAAGGAGTGATGATGATGATATATGCAGGATGCCAAATTAACGCATGCTAAGTGCTAAGATAGCCATTCTAAAACTATGGGCGCAAAAACAAAAAATGCACTGCCCATAAGAAATTGTAATTATTTTTTCCTGCAGAAACCTTTTTGGGAGTATTCTCGTCAACTCGTATGAACGGTGTTAAAAACAGCATCAGACTTTTATTTTTTATGTACCGTTTATATGGAAAAAGGGCACTCTGCCGGGGGGCTGCCCCTGCGAAATTGAAATATTTTTCACAGAAACCCTTCCAAGAGTTATCTCAACAACTTGCTCAAGTTTCATGGCGTTCAGATTAAAGGTGTAGTAATGCATAAATACACAAGCACACATACATTCATACATATATAGAATTTAAAAACCGGGTGTTATTAAATCTATTAAAACTATTGAAATGTAGTTATAAACTTTTTCATTTTTGTAAAGATTTGAATTTTTAATACTTTTGGTAACTTAATACAATTTTAAACAAGCCAAAAAAAAGTTTTTTTTTCTTCAATTTTATCACTGAAAACGTAATCAAACATGGCAATACTAGACCTAGGTCATGTGGTAAAAAAAATTAATTTTATTATTTTATGGTCAAAATGTTGAGCACAAATTAATACAAAGTGGGGTTTTTGAAGGATCCAATCATGGAGTTTCTGTACAATCAATTTAACGAAAGTGAAACTTTAGGTTGATACAATACATAGAATTGAAGCCTTGAACTTTAATGCAATAAAGTAATATTTTCAATATCTCAGTATCTTTTTATAACATTGATTTAAAAAAAAAAAAAATAATTTCTGTATGTTTTTCTAAAGATTATTTCTGACCAACCGCTATAACAAAATAAAAAATAACGATCGTACTCATCTAGTTAAAATCAGCTGCCTCCAAAAAAATATAGATCTATCCCTATCATAAGTAATATTTAAATAATGTAAGATAAAGATATTTCAAATCAATAATTACTTCATCATTATATTTTTTTTGCTTTTGCATTTTAGCTTAGATGAACACTTGATAAAAGTTAGACTGGTTATTTATACCAATTTGTATTTCGAGGTTTGAAGCATTAATCCATAACCACTTTTCAGAAAATCTATTAAAATAGCCCAACTGTAGCAATGGTTTTTTAATCAACCAACTTAAATTTCTGTAGATCATAAGAAGGTAAAAATACATTTGTTGTTTACCAATACATGTCCACTTCAGATGTATGGTGTACTGGGTAAGAATTTGTATTCTTAAAAAAAAAGAAAAAACCCATTCACAATTGTTAAAATAATAGTAAAAATAAACAGCATTGAAGTGAATCATTATTTTCCTATTTTAATTCTTTTTGACATGACACATTAAATGAATAATTGCATATATGACATCATATAATAAAAAGTTTACTTGCATATTTAGCCACTCTTTTTTTTTAAAGTATTTAAAAATTTTACAATTATATATCTCATAGTATTAAACTGGCTATCACAATATTTCAGAAAAGAAAAACCATTACAATAATTACAGATAAAACATAAATAGGCACATTTCAAACACAACTTCTGATAATAAAAAAACAAGTTACATTGATTTATTGTTGGCATTGTTTAAATTTGCTAGTGACTGAAGATTTAAAGTATAGAAATTTAAACAAAAAATGTAATGCTACTTATTTCTTTAAGTATATGTTAAATCTTACATAGTACTACAACTAGGCTTATTGTAGATAGCTATAAACACTGCCACTTTATACTTAAACTTCACTTAAAGATTAATAATATTCAAGGGTAAACTGACATTCTCTAAAGATGTGTGCTGCCAAAGGGAAACAATGGCCGAGGTTAGGGGGAGGTGGGTGGAGCAGTGACAGAAGGGAAGAAAGATGTGAATGTAGAAGGATTGAAGGAAGAATAGACAGTGAGTCAACTTTTACAATAAAATTGGGTTTTAATTATAATTAATTCAAATTTCAGAGCCTCCAAGGAGCAACATGGATTAAAAGATTTTTTATATTGTTAGGTGAAGAATAAAAGATACAATAATAATCATAGTAAACTTGACTAAATGTAATAGGCGTGACTAGTTCTCATAACACAACTAACGTGTTGTATAGTAAATTTTATACAAATTAAAAAGCAACTATTTAGTTTACTATATTACAATCCTTATTCTATGTACATTATTACTAGCTTTTAGAATAATTTTGTTTCTATAAAAATCTGAAATTTCAATTCCACTAGTGTGATCTAATAGTCTTTGTCAACTCTTGCACTTTTTAAAAATACTACCAGTTGATTATTAATTTGATGGAAGGATTTAGACAACATTAGGAATTTTACAGAATTCCATTAGTAAAGTACTGAAAATTATCGTAAAGCTTTGTTGTCAGAGAATGTAAACTTGCTTCCACTAATCCATCTACAATTAACTGCAACTGTTCTTCTGTTGATGTCATGTGGAATCTATCTTTCAAAGCTCGGAAGGCACTGAATCCCTTATTAAAGCATGGAAGCTGAGAGCCTGTATAAATTGTGGGAAGTTAAAGGTTGTTAATTAATCAAAATTACATACTGTACAATCACTTAAATTGGTTAATTTATAATTTGTAGAAACTAGAGAACAGCAGTACCTGTTTGCATAATTTCTACCAATGGTAAAATCTTATCCATATGCTTGCGTGAGGCGACAAATCCTTGAAGCATCAATATTTTAAAATATTCAAACATGTCACTTCCCAGACCACCCATGACCTGTAAAAAAAACAACAACTCAGCACTAAAATAATGTACAATAACATAGTCACCTTTCAGATCTGTAGGCGCTTGACGAAGAATAGAATAAGCATCAAGTGACAAGGACCAATCGAATAAGCATCAAGTGACAAGGACCAATTTTAAAAAAGCCAAATATTTATAGTGAAATGTTTAAAAAGGAAGCTTGGCGAAAATTTACATAATAGAAGAAACCGCACATATTTAATGACAGTGTATCAGAGGTACTCTTAGGAAAAGGAAGGAAACTGGTAAAGAATCTATTCCAACACATTCTAATCTACTACAAAGCTTATAATTTATAGAGAAGGTAATGGATTCTGTATTTCTGCCTGTATAAACTAATCATACACATTTAGTCAAAGGTTTTAAATTCTTCATTGAGCCAAAGAAACAGCTCAAGTAAAAAAATTTTGGAGGTTGCGTTAAAACTAGGTTAGGTTTTTTAAATTAATTGTTTAATGGTGTTACCTTTATTTGTATTTGTTTCTTTCATAATTTTTTTTTTTCCTGATTTGGTACTTTGGGGTTTTGTAATATTCATTGTTGTATTAGCCATATCAAAGATCTATCAACAGCAATACCAGCATGTGTTTATTTTTTGAAGGTACAAATACAATGTCAGTGATGCTGAAGTAGTTTGTAGAACAATTTTAAATAATTTAACTTAATTGCTATTAACCCCTTCATCTCAATGTATATCCATAATATAAAAGCAAAGTGGGTTCTGTTCTGTTGTTAATCACGCCTATTAAATCAGGTATTTGCAAATAAGTTTCAAAGGTATTAATATTGCTGAACTGTGTGGTTTACTCTCATTCCAAGAGGAAACCTATAGCGATCTCAATAGTCCTATTTAAATTTAAAGTAACCAAAAATGAACTAGATTGATATACACAATACATTTTTTAAAGTGCTTGAATTAGATCAGCAAATCGCTGATGCAACTCAAACTTAATATTTTATAAGGAGATAGCTCTGGTGGTGTGAACACATGAAAAAATACTGCTCAATTTTACCAATATTGAATGGACATAACTGCAAAAGGAATTGAAACTTTTAATCTCTTCATTGCCAAACCCCCCCACATTCTTGACTACACACAAGAAAATGGGGGGGGGGGGGGGAACATGAAAAAAAAGAAAAATTCATACAAGATGGTTTTCAAATAGCTGTGAAAATTGATAAATGAATTTGAAAATGGTGCATTGTTTGAATAGTGCAACATCAGGAGATGTTCACATCTGCTTTGTCAGGGCTTACTACCCAAAAAAATAATAATTTTTAGTAACAAAAGCTTCATGTTTTTCATAATAATTTTGCACTGTCCATAGACTCCTGGTAAAAACAAAAAATCCAGGAAATTCAGGACGTAGTTATTTCATTATAGCAGATTGAGGAATAAAATAGACCTAATGACTTACACCCACAATGACATTCGTCATGGAAGATGCATATAAACAAGAAATACTGGATCATACAGCTGAATTTCAACCAACTGAATACAAAACTCGGACCAGCAACAGAAAGCTATCACAAGAAAAAATTGAACAAAAATATAACTGATGAGACAAAATTGTTTTCCATAATTCATTGAAGTGAATGATCCATTATATTTTTACTATATTTGACAGATGTATTCTCTTTTGGTGTTTACTGTGATCATCTGCATTTTTTACTCCACAAAATGAATGGCAGCAGGGCCATCCCGGTTCTGTTTATAATTTGAATGGCCTTTTTGCCAGTAAAGATCCGGTTTGGTTTGATATGAAACAGCACCTTTAGTGTAATAGGCATGTTTGTCATATATTTCAAAACTACTTCTGGTAAAAAAAGTGATGGCTGAGAAAATATTCCAAAGTTCTATAATTGGACTAATTGAAACTTAACTTTAATTTGTGTTGTATTGAATATTTTTAATGAAGAGCAAACATTTTGTTGAAGTTGTCATATTATTAGATTAAGAATGAATGACTCACATAGTTCAAGAGGAGAACAAATTAAAAAGCCACCAGAATATTGTATCTTGACTATTCAACAGTGACGGTTATAACATTACTTTTTAATTTACAATTGTGAAGTTAACCTCACCAAAGACCAATCACAAGTAATATTGAATTTATTATAAAACAGTTTCTACAATACAGTCAAAGTATTGAAAATAATAAAAATCCCCATACATCTATATTAATATATCAACAGATCAATTTTAGCACATGTTCCTAAACTAAATTACATGTTATTAATATTTATCAATATTTTATCTTACCTCTACAAATTCGTGGGTGAGCTTAAAAGGTGAGTTTTCAAATCCTAAATTTTTTCCTGGAGAGTTTGATAAAATAAAACCAAAATCAATGTGAATGATATGCCCATCAGAATCCAGAAGAATGTTGCCATTGTGTCTGAAATAATAAAGTTTTAATTGAGCTGATGAGCATAATAAAGGTAAGATAGAATGCAAAGCTGAAGTAATGAAGGAAAAGATAAATTCAATGTAAAAACCTTTACAGAGTATAGTCAAAAACCTTTAAAATGCACTGAAAATAATAATAAAACTCTCTTTCTTTAGTAAAATGTGTAAGGAATTTTATGAAAGACCAATGCTTTTACTAAAATGAGCAAGCCTGTTAGATTTTTAAATTTTCAGTGCATTTAGAAGTTTATTATTATTATAAGGTTTTTGATGTTTGTTTATTTTGTTCTTTTATTAATGGACACCAACAAGAATAGTTTCAAAATTGGTTGTAAGGCCCATATAAAATTGTAATATCATGTAGGCCTAATATGTTATTAAAATAAATTTGTTTATTAAAACCCGAGTAATTGGTTTTTGTAGGACATTACAAAATATTGAATGCAGTTGATGATTTTAGTATTTTCGGTAGCCAAAAATAAAAACGAATCCAAAAATAATTTGGCTGTTTTTTTTCCCCCTGAAGATGCACATTAACATGATATAACTAATTTACGAATCTGGGTTCAAAGCAGTAGAACATCCATGAGTCAACTCAGCTCTGATGGGTACCTAATTCACAAGTAAAGGTTGGTGGGCCTAATGCTGAGCACACTATCCCTTCATATGCCAAGGTCACTGAAACAGGTGAACTCTACCTCATCTGCTCAATGGATCGCCAGATCTAAAGAGGACTGTCAGGTAAAACAGGGAACTTTACATTACTTTACTTACAAGGCCACATGGTTTAAAAAACTTTTAAAGTATCATTAGATTTTGGGTACAAATTACTGGAAAGTGGGGTTCTCTGTACAGCCAATTTATGCTTGTTTCGCAAGTGAAATTTTATGTTAAAAAAAATAGAAACATAGTCTTATAACACAAAAAATTATTTTCAAGCTATCTATATTTCCAACTTTTATATCATTGATTCTTTAAAACATTTAACTTTTTAAATTTTTTCAAGCTGAAGTTTAAAAAAATTGTTTTTATGGCCGCCATGAAGGCAAAATTGACAGAAACCACAACTTTAGTGCACCAGTAAAATATACACCTATATTTTGAATTTTATATAATTGTATTTTATTTTTCCTATTAAGAGGGGTTTGGTGAATGTGCTTATGAAGCTGGTAGGATCAGAAAGGTTTAGAACCACTTTGGAGACTACTGTATCTAAATAATTGAGACAGACATTGTGATCTAAATAAAACCCTTTAAATTGAATTAAAATATTTTAAAGGACTATTTTTTAAAGCATGCTATACATTTTTAAGATTTGGAAAATTATCCCTTCCCAACCACTACGACACTAATATGGAATGGTTAGTGAAATATTTACCTGTCTTTTAGTTGTAGCAGGTATGAAACTAAACAATAGCCAGCACAACTTTGAACAAAGTTTCTTTGAGCTGTAAGAAATTCTTCACTAGTTTTTGGGCCAAACTCGTGGATGAAGTAGTCCAGTAGAGACAATTTGCTATGCTTTTTAATCTGATGCAGTGATATAGCATTAAGCACTGGCTCAATCATACCACTGTCACGAGATGTAACAACAATCTTATAAGGTTTAATCCATAGAGGAACATGCTCTTCCATCCAGAACATCTATATTTAGATACAACAAAAAATCAGTTGTAGGACTTTTAAAAAAAACATACTGCTGATGAAATAAAAATTTAATCAATTGGGGACTTAATTTCACTTAACGGTGAAGACTCCCAATGTTACAAGCATTCACAATGTTACCAGCATTTCCAAATTGTTTATCAATAATAAGCTGCCACATTTCACACCATCATATCTACAACAACCATGTAACCTTAGGCATAAACTATAACCTAAACTAAAATTGAACTTTACCTTTTTCTCTAAGACACTGTAGTGATATAATGTGCAGCTGCATAACCCTAAAGCTAATCCCTGATAAAACTTAAGCCTTACATCCATGGAATTAAAATTTGTTTTTATAAATTAACTATCATAACCTTCTAGTACATTGCTACCAACTGAGAGGAAAGATTGACCCACTTTAAGATGCTTTCATCAATGTGTTACCAATTGTTTACTTTTTACTACAATATCTTGTTTAGAAATGTGTTTAGCAGGCCTGAACTATAAAAGGTGGTACCGATGTACATTCAGGGTTCATACAACATTTTGAAAATAAAACTCAAGACTTTTTCCAGACCTTTGTTGAAAAATTCCAGACTTTATACAGATGTGTTTGTGACTAATTTACAAAATGATGCAACATATATGTAGGCCTACCCTCATTATAAGTACAGTATAACAACATTTATTTTAGGCAATTGAGCTGATGTTTATATTGAATTTTCTCTAGCCAAATTGACAAAAAAATTACTTTTTTAAAGTTACCAACCCCACTTCCCCAAACTTTATATTATTAAAATAATTGATTAACATGAGAGGAAACCATTGTTTCCAACACTCAGCTTATTTGCTCATGATCTAATTGCATTATTTTCAAATAGATTATTACTATTAGTGGTATCAATTACTTAAAAAGAATAATAATCAAGTATTTTACTAATTTAGGTCTGCAGTTGTTGAGTAGCCTAGATCTAGTAAATATTGTTTTAGAAACAATAAGCTACTTAACTAGAAAAATTTGGGGCAAAAAAAACTCAGCAGGTTGTAACCACACCATTTTTTATGCTATTAAAAATTGCAGGTATTCCCCCCCCCCCCCCATCCCCCACAAGACATCAGCAGGCCTGTCTAATAGGTCATAGCATGAACTGTAACATAACTTGTATCCCCCTCAGCCAAACAGTACCAACAACACACTTGGAGTCAAGGTGAGTTCACTCAAGTTTAGATATCAGTGACCGTAGTTACATGGAGAGGTAGGTTAGTCTTGCCCTAACTGTCAGCATTTGCAAATTTCAAAAAACAGTTTTAATGAAAGTGAATAAAAATTTTGGGATTATCGGTGATGTCATTACTTAAAATTTTTCTTCACAAATGCAAAAAATAGCTGGATTAGCTTATTTTGTTGGGTTTTTAATTCTGGGTTAATTGTAAAGTTAATAGGTAGAGGCTAATAGTTATCCTTGCTTACGATATGAGTGAGATCTAAATATTTAAGAAAAATAATATTTAAAAAAAAAACAGCTTTATGCGCAATCCTAGTATTATCTAAGAAATTTTTACAGATCTAATACTTGGCTATACTGTGAGGTCATGTTAACGTCACATTAGGCTCGCAATAACCGTCACATTAGGCTCGCAATAACCGCGATGTTCGAGTGACGTAGGGTAGACTAAGGCTAGTAATGGATCAAGACTCATTTATAAATGTTAGTTTAGTCTAAAAAATGGTTTCCTGCTAAAAATTACTGTCTATTTGGATAAAGACGACTGCATTTGAACTTAAAAATTTTGCACCAATCTGATTTTCTATTAAGATTATATTAAGTTTTATCAGCGTCAGTTAAGATAAGAAAACAAAAGTAACGGCGTAAAATGACGGCACTGTTGATTACTAGCCTAGCCTTCACAGCAGTGGACATTGTACCATCTACGCATGCGTGAAAGGTGTTAAGAGCCATAAGTGTGTATTAAAGGCTCAGGAGTCTTGCTAATTAAAACAATTATCAAGTTTAAAACCGTCTTTTTTTTAAAAACTGCAAACTCGGAAATTTTAAAACTCAAATTTTGCGAATCCAGAAAGTGTAAAAAAAAAATACGATTCTCGAATCCGGAATATCCCGGAAAAGCGACATATATTAATTTGACTAAACTTACCTGTAATCGTTTAAGCACCTGATAAACCAATAGTTCTTGTCTAAGATCATCTCCAACTTTAACTATTACTGACATAAGCTGCCAATTTGGCAAGTGACCATAAGGAGATGTTTCGCGAATACGGGCAACCTTTTCCTCCCACGGTTCTTTAAGAGCTGCTGCCGATGGATCCTCTGGGTCACGCTGAAATACAATGGAATAAATGTTTCCCCATTACATAATTAAAATTACAAATTAAGAGAAATGTATAAAATTATTAAGTTTTATGAAAATAAAAGTAAGAATAAAAAATACACAATTTTAAGCACTTTGCTTCAATTTTCAATCAGAAAATATGAGTATTTTATATACTTATTTAAAATTCCAGATTTTTTAAACACCACAATTTTTTAACTGTTCTTGAAAGTACTGTTAAGAAAAACATTTTATAATATTGCCAGTCACCATAACTGGTTGCTTTTGTTACCTATTGTCTAAAATCTATGTTCTGAAAATAGATAGTTTTTATTATTCCTAATAACAAAAGTAATTCTTAGTTTTTAACCTCAAACTTTTTCTTTGGGGCTGCAAGATTTTCTGATAATCGTCTGCGGATGTCCCCAGCAGCAATATAAACTGGATCTTTGCTATCAGCACTTGCAGAGCTTTCAGTAGAAAGCTGGGAAATTGTATCACTTGACCTACACCTATTTGCCAACTAAATAGAAGACAATAATCATTTTAAAATACTTCAAAATTTCTTTATAAAATAAATATGAGTATGAGTTTTAATTGAATTAATAGCTATGATCCCAGAAGAAAGAAAATGTAGGACACTCATCATTCAATTTACAAAGAGTCACTTTTAATAAACATTGTTCATTCAAATATTGGAAACATTTCAAAGTGTAGTTTTAATATTAATGTTATTTATTAATGTGTTTGTGTATGCACAATATTTTTTTCCAGTCTGTTACATGAATAAATCAGGTCTTTTGGTGCATGAGCTGGTCACTTAACAGTGTCTATATGACAAGTATAAATTCTCAAAATCTAGTCCTAAACATTACACTTTTTGGATATTAGTTGTTGGGAGGTAGGTTTGTCAAAACTATTTTCCAGATGCCCCATGTTGTGCAGTATAAAGCTTAAGTGTGTAGATGGATGATACTCAGTAATGGTGAGGTAGAACACCGCCCATTTGTCAGGGGCCATGCTAGGTATTCTTTGGAGCCAGCCATCAAGAGTTACCCCTAGTTTGGTTTGGTCATCATATGTAGTGGCCCGTGTCCCTAGTTTAGGTAGCTCTTTGAAACAAATGTAGGTGCTCATGGAGGAGCTTATGGCGCTCTAGGCCACGATCACATGGGCATAGGAGGATAGCTCTGGTGCAATAGGATTGTTGATTCAAATAGTCCCCCTCCCCCCCAGTGCACAACACTCAATCAATGGACACCATGTTCTAAGTTAGCAGCCCTTACAATATTTACATCTTTTAATGGCAGAAACCTTAAATGGAGTGTACTCATAAACCTTTCCTAAGTTTCATGGCCATTGGATAAATGGCAGCAATATATAAATGACACACAATCATTTATTTATAATATTATCAAGCATAACTTAACAGTGAACAAATACTTTTATCATTTTTAAGTTAATCTTGCAAGTTCGTTATTTACAACAAATTTCAGTTTGATTTGCTCTGATTTAGCAGCCCTTATCAAAAACTGTATAATAATAAGAAATTACAGCTGTCTTGGTTTTCCTTAAGCTAATTTTTCCCATTATTTAACACGTTTTTATTAACTCAGCTTCGCGTGTGTTTGTTGTTAAAATTGACATCGAAAATTAGCCCACTTCTGATTGCTCTATAGACCTGAAATTTGGCATGCATGCTACTTTCGCCTAACAATTTCAGATGCAATCATAAAAACTAGCAATTAGAGACCGTAATTAGCTTAATTTAATTACGCCCCAAGGACCATAAAATTGAGGACATGATTTCTAAAGATACCGACAAGACTGGAGGCTTATCGACACAGTTACTTCGGCCCCAATCGATGTGAGCGCGCTGGCCGTGATCGTATAGTGGTTAGTACTTCTCGTTGTGGCCGCGACAACCCAGGTTCGAATCCTGGTCGCTCAAGATTTTTTTAGTCCGTGTATTTATAAACACTTAGTCAATTCATACTTAATCAAGTCATTAGATAAAGTAGAAAATAAACTATATAAAAAACTTTTTTAAAAACCACGTTTTTCATGTGTAGCAACGGACTAAAAAGGAGAAAATAAAATACTTAAAAAAAACTTTTTAAAAAACCACGTTTTTCTTGTGGACTAAAAAGTAGAAAATAACTATTTACATACATTTGATGACAAAAAACGTGGGTCGGGCAGATGGGTCGGGAAATTTGATGGTGAACGTACCCACGTTTTTTGTCATCAAATGTATGTAAATAGTTATTTTCTACTTTTTAGTCCACAAGAAAAACGTGGTTTTTTAAAAAGTTTTTTTTAAGTATTTTATATTCTTTAATAAATCTTTTAAAAGGTATTTAACTAGTGTCTCCCATCTCTCAATTACCCATATACTTAAAGTACATACATTTTTTTGTACACGATTATTTATAAAATGTGTTTTGGTATGTATTGCAACGTGTCTTTCAACAAATTACACTTTTCTATGCAAATAATTGCTAATATTTTCAGACTACAACGCAACATACAATTTTTGCTCTTACCACATATGCATATTTATCCTATTGCTGCTGGTCGATAATGTGATGGGTGCAAGACAAAATTTATGAGATCCCACTCACCCACATAGCAAATTTTTGCACTCCCTAAATTTGGCCTACTTACATAGATTATTTTTACTAAATCGGTGATCATTATTTTACAACAATAAAATACTATTAGCTTTACTATTCACTATTCTTTATGTATAAACAGTATAAATCACATAAGAGAGTAATTTAGGAAATTATCCTCTAAATATGTTTTGACACATTAACCAGACATCCCGCAACAAGATGTAAAAATGTATTTGGGTGCCAGAGGGTATGTCTAGTCAAGACGTAATTTCTTTAAGTATAAATATAAATACGAGCTGACCCGCGACGTAGCATATGCCGCTATTTAGTTTTATTCCTATTTTTCAGTAATTCATAATTTGTGAATTCGACACTACCAATGCTGCGACTGTAAATATTTTGCTTCATTTAAAACACTATCAGTAGCTAGTGAAGGACGATTATCCTCACCCTCACTTTCCTCCCCCCCCCCCCCCCCCACTCCGCCTCCATGAAAGCAGCCGTCTGTGAGGACAGTTTACAGGCGACAATGAAAAGAGCAAGCAGAACATGTTATTATTTCCCCTTAGTTTCAAATCGTTTAAAAACTAAATTATCTACCCCTAGTGGTTACTACGTTTGTAAACACAGGGTTCCCACAATTTTTTTTACCAGAAAATTCCCTGCTATTTCAAGAATTCGCAGAAATTCCCTGCTATTTTTCATATAAATTCCAACGCGCATAACCATTGAACTTAAACTTGCCAAATTTAATTTAATTAAACCACAAAAAAGCAGACATTTTTTAGGGGTGCCAATCATTTTTAAAGTGAATCATATCCTAAATTTAAATCCCAAAACTAAACTTTTTAAACTGTGAAACTTGATGTTGCATCAGAAATTTTTAAAAATAAAATTTGACAATACTTACTTACTTTTCAAAACATTTGATTGATATTAATATTATGTTATATTTTTTTAAATACATTCCTTTGGTGATTTTAACTATAAAAATCTTGACACAAAAATTAATATTTAAAGGATCGTGCATGTAACAAAAATAGTAGACCCATCTTGATCCCATAATCATTATAATGTAACATTACATTTATAGAACCCCCCCCCCCCCCCCATACAAAACAACTCTATGTTAATACAATTAATGTGAATATAGTGAGTTAAGCTGATAGTGGTCACAATTTGAAACCTTATCTAAAAAGTTGTAGAAATGTACACTGCAGTTTGTAACATATCTATTTAGGCCTATTTAATTTTATCACTTCTTATATTGAGTTCAATATAGTGTGTAGACCGCCAAAAGTGTTTAGTTATTCACTCAACCAACAAACTGTAAACAACAAATAATTTGCTTAACTGCAAGCTTAGAAATTTTCAACTTAAATTTAGAAAAATCTGAAAAGTGAAAAAAAGTATGATTCTCAAATCTGGAAGCCCAGGATATCCCAGGAAAAGTGGCACCCATGAATATGCCTCTGTATTAGATGACCTTGAATAGAGTTCAAGGAAAGAGCGTAACCAGGGACAACTAAGGCTATAGAAATTGTGGAAGTTCTTTCAAATATAGTGTGCAACTGTTGAATGGTAGAATCATGACAGCAATGTTTCAAAGTACCTATTCGTAAGAGTTATACAGTGAGCAGGTGCAGCAGAGTTATATAATTTTATGTCTGAACAACAAAACATAAAATGAAATGTTCCTAAACTTTACAAGGGAGTCTACATCACATTGCAAGACCATAAGCCCTATTAACTCCAGTTGTTACAATTTTTATCTCCCCTCCAGCATGAAATAATTGTAGTTGAAACAAACGCATTTGAGATAGTCGGTGACGTCTCTAGCCTTTAATTTCTCCCAAATTCAGTATCACTGGCTAACCAGGAAACAGTCTGCTAAAACATTTAATAATGTTTATTTAAGTCCACCTCCAGACTACACATTCAAGTTCAAATAAGCCTAAAGAAAATCATGTGTAGCCTAAACTAAATTTAATACTAATCTTAGGAAAGAAAAAAACAATGAAAAAAATTACGCCAGGCCAATGTTAGGTAACACAAAGCTAGCAGAGCAGTAGATGTACCATATATGCTTGTGCGTTTGGCTGAAAATAGATCAACAGTAAAAAGGCTCCGGAAACTTAATAATAAAAACGATTTCTAGAATCATGTCACAAGTCTTGTTTTGTTTTTTCTAACTTCAAACCCGGCCATTTTAAACTCAGTGGGAACCCTGTGATATGGTTAAAAAATCCTGACAGTTAGGTTGTTTTTTTTAAAAAGAGGGAATGTATTTGACGTTTTAGTATTTTCTGTAATTAAACACAAATTGAAACAAAAAAGGCAAAAGCAATTTGGTTTTCTTGTGGTAAAAGCGGTATAAACAATGACATTCGATAGGCTAGCATAAATTTTATTATATAACATGTAAAAAAATGGCAGAACTAGGTCATGTGGTTTAAAATAGCATTATGTTATTTAAAAACTATATCTGCAAAGTTTTGTAAACAAATATCTATTGATCACGGAGTTCCTGTACAGCCAATCAGTGAAAGTGAAACATCCGGTTATATCTTAGGGTTTGTGAAAATAAATAGAAATGTAGCCTCAAACTCAAAAAATTATTTTCAAGTTCTCTGGATTTGTAACTTTTTATAACATTGATTCTAAAAATATTAAACTTCTGAATTATTTTAGGCTTAAGTTATTATTTTTTTATTATTTTTACGGCTGCTATGAAGTCAAGATATAAAATTTTTTTTTTATCCATGTCAACAATATGATGGAGGGATTCTCATCAACTCAGCGTCCTCCATTAGATACAGACCTTCATGAATAGATGCCTTAGACAGATACTGAAACTGAGATGGCAGGACAAAGTGCCGCACTTGGAACTATGGAGGAAAGCTAGGCAGGAGCCTATAGGTGTGCAAATAAGAAGGAGGAAGTGGCGCTGGGTGGGTCACACACTGCGAAAGGCTCACACATATGTTACACGCCAAGCGCTTGAGTGGAACCCCCAGGGAAAGCGGAAGAGAGGGCGCCCAAGACAGACCTGGAGGCGGAGTCTTCTTGAAGAACTGAAGCCAATAGGGATGTCTTGGGAGATGTCAAAATTAATAGCCGAGGATAGGAAGAAATGGAAGGAAATGGTGGAGGCCCTATGCTCCATAAGGAGCAAAGAGGACTAAGTCAAGTCAGTGTCCTCCATTAGCATAAAAAAAATCCAATGTTGAAATCAACTATATAAAATTCAGTGTCAGAAAGATAACAGAAAATTAGCAAATATAAATTTTGGATAATAATCAGGCATTAAGGGTTTGCAGGAAAAATGCTGCATTGTGAGCAATTATATAAACTTAAACTTTTCTTATATTTTATTTCAAGGCTCTAATATATATATAAAAAAAACTTACTGCAATGATTTCATCATCTTCTTGTGACCAACAGTCTGCATCATCAAAGTCTTGGCATGTTCCATAAACACTAAATTCTGGACGTGGTGAGCCATTAACAGGCTGCTGCACTAACTGACTTAAATCTTCCTCTGAGCGAGTAAAACGAAGTGTGTTCTCTAAAATTTTATGTGGAACTTGACTTGTTGTTGTATTATCACACTTCAAAACTTCCACATAAATCATGAATGGTGCCTTAGGAAAAATAATGACAAATGTTTTTTCTAGATTTGCAGGACAATGCTAAACTAAAAAGAATACTTGGAAGTTGAAATTTTAATCAACATTTATTATTATTCTCTCAGTATAGATATCAAGAAATCAAAATGTAATCATGAGTTTTTATGATTTTAAAACTTATGAAATATTCCTGTGCCTCCCTTCGACATTGAAATAACACTATGTCAACATTACTATTTGAATAACTGCTTCAACCCCTCATGTCTACCCTATCTATTTATGGAAGCTGCCATTTATCTTATCATGGTTCATGTGTGTGTGTATCTCACTTGTTTGAAACCAATGATTGTTAATTCTACTATGATGATAACTGGTCAGTTGGCGTCTTTCAGGGTCAGATATCACATCTACCCACATCTTCCATATATAGTCCATGAAGAAGGACAATCAGGAATGCTATATTTTTGTTGGGCTAACTGGTGTTAGTGGTTACACCTGATTTGATGCACAATAGGCGAGGAGATTCTGTACTAAGTGGAGTGGTGGGCTCAGTTCCCATCTGGCTAAAACTGCTGTCTTTTCTTGGACTATATTATGTACCTATCTTCCCTCAGCATAGAAATAAAACATTATGTCAACATTGCTATGTCGGCAAAAATGCTTACTCCCAACCCCTCTACAGAAAATATTCCTTTGACTATTTGGATCATTTAAAAAACAGTAACATGAATATTATGATAACACTAACAAAAGACAAACCTTTTCTTTGGAATTAAGAACAACAGCTTGGGTGTGAGGTATTCTAGCTACATGGTGACTTCTAGAATGAGATATAGGTAGCCAAACTCTGGCAGGTAGGTTCAAGTTTACCAAAGCTAGTTCTGCAATCAACTGAGATGCTAATGCACAAAAAAAAAGATTAAAAATAATTAGTAGTGAAAAATAATAAACAAAAATGATACATACATTATAACATCAAAAGCAAGTTTTAAAAGTGTTACATTTTTTAAAGAAAAAGACCACATAAAAATAGAAGCATTTGGGAAAGGGGGAATGTGAGGTTAAAAATTTGTTGATAGTATATTGTATCAGTTTAATAAGGCCACAGCTAGGATTGTACTTTGGCTAGAAAAATATCCTCTAATATTTATTTGCAAGTACCTGATCTAACACGTATGATTAACAGAAAGATATAGATAGTATTGAGTATATACAATATAAATATATGTGTCAGTGTTAGTTTATGTAATTTAGGTTCCTAGACTATATCTTTTAAAAAGATTTGTTGTTAGTGTTGGGTTTAGGGCTTGAACTGTTGTATTGTTATGGTAGACATATAGGTTAAGGTCAACTAGGTACTAAGTTTAGAAAGAAATTGGGTTAGTGAGTATTAAATCTTGCGCCACGGCAGGGTGGTAATTTTGCACCCTCTGCTGACCAGTGAGCACTATGATTCGATGTGGGCGATTAATACCCAAAAAAGATGAAAATGATGTTTCATTATGTTCATAACTTTTTACATGATCTTATCAGAAAGTGAGATTACCCGTCTAAAAATACACCATTAGTTAAGCAAACAGGTTGCGTCAGTCATTTTGCTCTATATATGTGCATTATTTAAGACAACTATAATAAGCACATTTTAGCTAATTCTGTTAGATTAAAAGAGAAGTAATAATGTTATGCTTGGTATTACAGTACTGCAAGGGTACAAGAGCATGTGTGTTGTGATAATTTTGTGTAAATAAAAGAGGGTGAGTTTATGAAATGATATGCAAGATTATGATGTTATGTTTACTATAGTTTATAATTGTTCAATAAATCAAATAGGAAAGGTCGGCAGAGGTGTGTGCAAATTACGTTTTAATAGACTTAAAGCGCAAAAAATTTAAATCAACCTAAATTTAATATCCTCTAGAAAAATTATAATTTTATCTGAAAAAAATAAACAAACTACTTCCCTTTATTAAAAATTAAAATTACATTTAAAAAATTCAAATTTATGTTTATGTTGTGTTTCTGGTTAGGATTAGGGTTTATGTTGGTGTGGTTTTTTAGGCGCAGAAGTACAAGGAGTGGAAAAGGTTTATATTTATGTTCATGTTTGAGGAGCTGTTAGGGTAGGTTTATGTGTATGCTTATGTTTGTAGTTGAGGCTGTAGTGAGGGTTTATATTTGCGTTTTTGTTATTGTGATTGTTTTATTAGGCGTAGAAGTGTAGGAGGGTATAGGGTTTATGTTATGTGATTGAGGATTTGGTAAGGTTGGTGTTTGGCTTTGTTTGTGTTTATATGGGTTTTTTTAGACGTAGAAGTGTGAGGAGAAGAGAGGGATTATGTATAAGTCTGGGTTTGTTTGTTTGTGGTTTTGATTGTGTGTGGTTAGGGTTCAATTTGGGTTATTTATAATTTCTCAAATGTCATTATTTGCCTATAGACATCAAATTTAAATTTAATATGTTCTCAAATCCCGATCACCACCGGGTATGATGATGCTAAATAAACACACAAGTCAAGGTCCATTTAAGATAAGTGCAGAGACTGGCCCAGGGACAGTATATATATATATATATATATATATATATATATATATATATATATATATATATATATATATATATAATACTAAAACTCAACTTTGTTTACATGTTTGAATATTTATTTGTTGTTTTTTTTTGTTTGTCTGATTGGCTACTGGAGAGAATCTGCACTATGTGTAGCGCTGTAAATTAGTATGTAGGTACAGAACAATTTTTGTTTTCAGACAGACTGTTAATCACAAATTTATTTAAAGAAGTTAATTAATTTATTGATTTATTCATTAATTTTAAAAGTTTAGAAAAACGACTTTACTTTGAGTGAATAGTGACGTTACATGATTTGTTTACTTTTTACATATTTTAAACGATAAAAAACGTCTTTTTGAATGTGGGGTCTGGTTATTTTGTGATGATAAGTGACAGACGTGATGTCATTTATGGATGACCCCCGAAACTCACAGTTATCTAAGTAGATAACAGGTAGTCTAGTATATATATAAAATTAAATGAATGCAGTAGAATGAGGGCACATTTTTTTTTTTTTGTTATTCTCTAAAAACAAAAGACAGCAATACATTGTGCGTTTTTTTCAAAATATCTCTATGCATAGTCATTTAGTTAACTGAATACTAGAAACTAAGGCTAATTCATGACCTAGTTATGAACAACATAAGTCCATAAATCAATTTGTTGTTGATTAATACTTGGAAATAATAGGCTAGTTCTATTAATAACTGTAATTAAGACCTACTTGCTGGGGCGATGCTACCGGTTATTTAACTATAAAGAACACCTGCGTTGTATTTCTTTGTTGGGGTGCTGCTTTGACCACACTAACTCCCGTACCCCAGGGTGGCTGTATGAAAGCCTTGAGTGTACATAGTGTGAGGTAGAACAAAACTCTATGACCAAATAGATGTCATAGGCCACTATGGACGCTCTTGTGAGCTACCTTTTACACTATCATACGGGGGTGTGCGCCCCATGATTCGGTTCACTCATCAAATGTGATGTGCCACTTTGTCCCTAGTGTATGGTACTCTTTAAATGAAAATAGGAGCCAAAGTGCTCGGGGAGAACCTGGGGCGCACCGGGTCACTTGACCACAATTGTTATTAACTCCTTAAATACATCCAAGTGGTTAAATAAATCTAAATTAATGATTGTTAAATTTATTGTATCAGGGGTATCTTCTACCCGGACAGTTAATGTTAGGAAATATGTATATAAAGTGTATATATACTTGCTAGATACTAAGTGAGAAAATTTAAAAAATAAACAAAAAGACAACAATAAAAGAATACAATTTTTATAAAAATGAAAAGGGTGCAAATATGTCTTAATAGCAAAAAGATTATATCATCATTAAAACTAGAAAATGTAATATACTATAATTTATTATTTAATAATAAACCAAAAGTAATCATAGAATGGATTTTGGAATGAATGCATTTTCAAAATAAACTGAAAAAACTGAAAAAATTTAACAGGAGTGATCTCCCCAAAACTTTTTCATATATTCTCATGTAAAAGTAAAGGTTGAGAAGGTTTGCCTAATGCAATCAGGCTATAGAAATATAGAAGATTTATAGAAAATAGGAGAAAATTTCTAGAATATGCTTTATGAAAATTTGATATAAAATTATCAAATTCTGAAGATTTTTGAGAAATTGGAAATAGAGCAAAGTACCTCTTTATAAAGCACTAATTTTCTGCCCTTTTACACACATTTCAAATAGAATTTTGTCTACCTAACTTGAACAGAACTCAAGCTGTCCTGTACCCACAGAAATAAAGTACCAATCCTGGATACCGGAAATTGTTCACAAATTTTATTAGAATACTTGTATTTGAAATTTAGCAAACCTATCTAAAACTGTACTCAAGTTAAATGTGTTTACAAACACACACACAAAGACAAACTTGTATTTGAAATTTAGCAAACCTAACTAAAACTGTACTCAAGTTAATGTGTTTACAAACACACACAAAGACAAACTTGTATTTGAAATTTAGCAAACCTAACTAAAACTGTACTCAAGTTAATGTGTTTATAAACAACACAAAGATGGACAGGGTTGCAAAGTTAAGGTTTTCCAGCTCTGAGAGGTTGTATAAAGGAAAAATTTCAAACTAGAACTTTTTTCATGATTACAATACAACCTTTTAAATTGGAGAAAACTGTCGCAATCTACATTAATATTTGTGCAAGCTTACAAAAATACTGTTAGACTCTATTTATGAGAAAGTAAAAAGGACGGTACATATATAAATTTACCTCTATGTTCTTTGGTAGGGAGCAGTTGCAATTTTTTCCCAATATCAAGCAGAGCTTTAATAAACTGCTCTTGGGGCAATAGCCTTGGTGCCTTAAATAAATAAAAAATGTTGAAAACTAAATAAGGCTTTTTATTTTCCTTTTTCTAGACAGGCTAAAACTAACTATCAATACACTAGAAATCAAATTTCAAAACTTTTAAAATCTGAAAAACTTACATCACACTGACAATTGGTTTCACGGCCTTTTAAATCATTTAAGACAGCTTCTGATTTGTGATAACACTGACAGCCATTGTCAAAAGCCCTTCCAGATGACAGGTCACCAGCAAAAAAAGTATTTTGTGTTGGAGTAGACTCACTGTGTTTTACTAGCATACCTGATTTAAAAAATTTTTTTTGCTTATTGTAGCTTTCAAGTATACAAATTCACAATAGTTATTAGAACACTGAGTTTAAATGTAAACATAGCAATCTAGTCATGTGGCCTAATTTTTAAAATGAATGTAAACAAAGCAGGCGCTATATTTCTTGGATGAGGGTTGATGGGGCGAGTTTTCCACGCTAGCGCCCAGAAGCACCAAGACATGCTGATGAAAGCCTTGAGTGTATGTTAATCATCCTCCGTAATAGTGAGGTAGAACACACCTCAACAACCGTGTCGTGGTGCACTCTTGAGAGCCACCAGCTACTCTACCACAAGGGTGCAGGTATAGACCCTGGTAGGTTTAATCATCAAATATCATGTGCTCAGGAGTATTCTCAACTACTTCCCAAAGTTTCATGGCGATCAGGTGAAAGGTGAAATAAATCATAAAGGACAGACAGACTTTCATCTATATATATAAAACTCTCTACGTCAACCAACCATGCGGGACACCATCTCGTATATGCTCGCTGACCCGCCCCCTCCCTCGCTCTCCAGGCATGCTCCAAAACTATGTTGCTACCACCCCCAACAGTCTGTTCAGCTAACACCGAATGTTTACAATCGTAGAACTGCGTCAAATAAGTGGCAGCTATTAGGTGCAGATAATTTAGTTTTTAAACAATTTGAAACTGAGGGGAGGTTATAACGAGTTCTGCTTGTTCTTTTAATTTTTGTCACGGACAACTGCTTTTGCTGAGGCTGTGGGGGAGGGGTGGAAAGTGAGGGTGTGGATAATCATCCTTCATGAGCTACTGATAGTGTTTTAAAGCAAAATATTTTCAGTCGCAGTATTGGTCGAATTCACAAATTATGAATTACTGAAAAGTAGAAAATAAAGCAACTAAATAGCGAGTGTGCTATGTCGCGGGTCGGCTCATTTTTATATAAATAGATAAAATAAGCTCATACTGTTTTTTTAAAGTGAAATTCCACCAGTTTTCTTCCATTTATGAAAAAATCCCTGGTATTAATGTTTTAGCAATTGCTAAAAACAAATTTATAAAACAATGCCAAAATTGAATAAAGACATTTATTTTATGCAACATAATTTATGTTTACTTTCACCCATCTTGAGTCAATAGTCAGACAATAATATATTTTATGGCTAAAAACACTATAAAATTTCGGAGTTTAACACTTTTTTATTATGTAACTTCAGCATTTAATATAAACGAGCAGACCCGCGGTGTATCACACGCTGCTATTTAGTTGTTTTATTTTCTACTTTTCAGTAATTCATAATTTGTGAATTCGACAGTACCAATGCTGCCACTGAAAATATTTGCTATAAAACACTAAACCCCCCCCCCCCCCCCCCCCCCGCGAATAGCAGCCTTCTCTTAGTTACCTCCTGTAAGTTTAAAATCGTTTCAAACTAAATTATCTGCCCATAATAGCCGTCAACAAACCCGGCTCTACTATTTGTAAACAATTAATTTATTGTGACCACAACTAACCAGACCATGTGGGGGTGGGGTGGGGGTGGTAGTGATAGAGATAGAGAGGAAGAGAGGGGACTGCAAAGGCGCGCTTGCAGCTTGTTTTCTAACGGCTCCCAGAAGAGAGTTATATATATAGATACTGGCATAATAGCTTCACAAATTGCGCATTTTTGAACATCCACAAAATATCTGATAACCAGATTTGTAACATACATGATCACACCCACATGGCAGAATGTTGGATAGCAAAAGTTTGGAGAACTTATCACAATGCATTTTCACTGCGAGGACACAAAACACTAAGGACAAGATTTTTGTTTTTAAAATAATTTTAGACTATAGACATTTTTCATTATTTCATTTTTTAAATATATCTCAAAATAAATTATTTTTCAGACATTTTCCAGAACCTAGTATAAACCATGACAATCTATATATATAATTCTCTTCTGGGAGCCTTTAGAAAACAAGCTGCAAGCGCGCCTTACAGTCCCCTCTCTTCCTCTCTATCGCTACCACCCCCACCCCCTACCCCCTCACATGGTCTGATGAGCTGTGGTTCACGCTGTTTACATTTTACAATCATAGAGACGGGTTTGGTGACGGCTATTAGGGGCAGATAATTTAGTTTGAAACAATTTTAAACTTAGAGGAGGTAACTAAGAGGGGGCTGCTTTCACGTGGGGGGGGGGGGGGGGGGGGGGGGGGGTAGTGTTTTTAAGCAAATTTTTTCAGCGGCAGCATTGGTACTGTCGAATTCACAAATTATAAATTACTGAAAGGTAGAAAAAAAAACAACTAAATAGCGGCGTATGATACGCAGCGGGTCGGCTCGTACTTGAGAAATGATCCCTAGTGTTTTTAAGCAAATTTTTTCAGCGGCAGCATTGGTACTGTCGAATTCACAAATTATAAATTACTGAAAGGTAGAAAAAAAAACAACTAAATAGCGGCGTATGATACGCAGCGGGTCGGCTCGTACTTGAGAAATGATCCCAAACAATACATAAAACACACCAATGGGATAAATTAAAAAAATTCACAGTACCTGTTGCTTCTGAACGAGACCTCTGATGTGTTTTTTTAACTACTGTGCTAGCTGCAGCCTGACTCAGCTGAGGTATAGTAGATAGTAGTGCAAGAGCTGCAGATGTCTGACTACTTCCTGTAAGATTTACGCTCAGTGACAAATGTCCTGGGCTTGATATACTATGTAATGCTCCTACTGCAAGAGAGTGCTGACGGTGTACACAGCTGTTTGCGACAGGAAACTTTATATTTCCAGTAGGACTTTGTAACTGTGGCCTTATAAAAATAGAAAGATGACAATATGACTTCTTTCAAAAGAAAATTAAAGTAATAAGTAATTTACCCATTTCACTAGTAGTAATTTAACATTTTAATTTGATAGACAATGAGATCAACTGGAATAATTGAAATAAGTTCTTGGGCTTATTTTTTTCTTCAAATAAACCGTATTTTGAAAACAATAAATAATGGAAAAAACAACACACAATCATCATGCATATAATCATGACGATAGTAAACACATCAATGTATAAGCTTTTCAAATAGCCTTAGACTGTTATTAAAATTTAACAGTATGGCATCGACTCTAGGTAAACCTGTGTCCTGATAATTATGATCCAAGCGCAGGCATTGTTTACATTACTCAGTTTTAGAAAACAAGGTCACGCGTCTAAGAACATAGGATTGGTAATGCATTGATGAAACCCATCTTAAATATTACGTCAGACTTACTTCTATCCCCACGATAGGGCGGGGATGGGTACTCTAATAAGCCTATTAAAAATCACATGTGGCCATGATCGTTGTGTCCGCGAGACTAAATGAGAGACACATTTATAAATGCTTAGTCCAGCAAAATGGTACCCTGCTAAAAATAACTGTCTATTGGGCAAGAACTATTGCATTCAAACTTTATTCTATACCAATCCTGTTTCTCTAGTTGTGTTTATTTACACGTTTCAGTGTTTGCAAAAAAAACAACAAAAAAACAATGACGTCACGCCCTAAGCAAACATAGCAATAGATGATTAAACATTGTAACATTGCATTATTGGCTGGAAAAAGATCAATGGTAAAAAGGCTCCGGCGTCTTAATAAAAAACAATTTTTAGAATGTAAAACAGTCTTGTTTGGTTTTGTAACTTCAAATCCTTTTTAAACTCAAATTCCACTAATTCAGAAGGGATAATCCAGAAAAGTGGCACCCCTGACAAAAAAAAGTAAAAAGTAGCAATGATCGTTAGTAAAGAGTCCTCTTTAGACCTAACCAACCATTGGTCAGGTGAAGTGGAGCTCATGTTTCTTAACCCCGGCATATTTACTCTCCCTAACGTGGACTCAGGGACGTTACACTTACTTGAACCCGGATTCGAACTCGAAACTATCAGGTCAGCAGTTTAGCGCTCCACTAATGATCACTAATCGTGGGTGAATATTTTTTAAGTTTGCTCTATTGTCACAAAACTAGTATTGTGCGCCTTAATAACTGTAAACCCTGATAACTGGTGAGACTATACTAGGCTAGGTTTATGCCTCGTCTAAGTCTCAGCATATTTAGGGAATGGAAAAAAAAACTCGCGGCTATAACAAAAAGTTCATGACTATTCATTGGCCCGGCAGGAAAATTCTATCTAAAAATTCACATTTTTTCCCCGGTTTACCAGCTCTGTGGGAACCCTGTAAGATAACCCCTAGGGAAACTTAGGGCACCACCCTTTTAATTTTAAAAGCTTCTGTAATAGCAGAAACCTTCCATGAGTGTTCTCAACAACTTTCCAAAGTTCCATTGCGTAGTAATGAATAAAAAATATATAAAAAAACACACACATTGATTTTTATATTTATAGACTACAAGTATACATAAGTTGATTATCTATTATGTGTAGTACCTGAACTCTTCCTTAAGAATCATGTCTCTAAGCTTTATCCCTTGTGAGTTTTTCCAATTTGGTTTTAAAGTGTCAGCAGAATAAGCATTTAAAAGCCATGCTGCATTGACAGAAAACTCAATTGAATTTCGGCATCTATAGAGATGAAATAATTATTTTTTTAATTTAAATAGTGTTAAATTTTGGGTAAGACATACTTAAAAAATTTAGAAAAAAAAAGCGTGAGTGGCAAAAGCCTTATCAATGAAAGTAGTTATTTAAAATAAGTATACTCATTCTTATGTATTAAGTTGTTCCATAGCAGTGCTATTCATTTTTGTACAGGCCAAATATCACTCACAATTAGGTCAAGATATTCAATGCATAATTAACAGAAGCACAGTCAATTAATTAAAAAAAAAAAAAAACATTTACATTTACTAGATTTCTCACCTGTGGATAAGATATGGATGAATGGCTTCTGCAACATCATGCATATGTATGTACATATTTAGCAACTGAGGCAAGTAAAAATCTACTTCAGCATCATCAAAACTAAACATCCTGTTGCCTAAAAGACAAGTTTTTTTTTTGTATAAAATACTTTTATTTTTAAATTAAAATAAATACATCAACATCATTTAAATATTTTCATCAGCATGTGTTTGAATGAGAAAGTCTGTCGGATGACTCAAATACTTACAAAATAAAATTTACATTTCAACACAAAACAAAAGTAGACAAATAATTCAATGATAAGAAAGAAAAATCGTATGTAAAACAAAAAACAACTTAGACACTAGTATTAGGGAGAATTAAGATATAAATTAGTGACATATTTAATGAAGTATTATGAGAACTGGGTTGGTGGCTTTAAATGAAGACAAATTAGTGACAAGTATTAATAAAGTAAATGGGTAAGATTATTAAGAACAGGTGAAGTTACTTCATGATGTAAAAGTACAAAAAGGGCACTTTTCAATGTCCATCTTGGAGAGAAAAATAAAACCATGCGATTGTAGGGGTGGGGTTTATAAGAACAGAACAGTTACATTGGGGTGGGTGTGGGTCAAAGTGAGGCAGATCAGACCACAGACGCAGTGTTGTGGTTTTTATCTTTTGTTGTGTTTCTATTTTCAGGAATGTGACAAGACCATAAAAAAATAGGAAATATGTTTTATCTATGCAGTTAATGCAGTATCACACTGTTACTGTACTAATTGTTTAATATTGTTAACATTTTAATTAAAAGAAGTTTATGTGACTATAAAATAACAATGAAGACCTGTCTAAATAGACCTTATTTTTAAAATTTAAATTTTACAATTTAACACATGTGAAAATTTTTATTTTTAGCTAATTTAAACTGTAATGATCGAGCTTTACTCTTGTTTTTTATTTTCAATTATTCCTTGTAAGTTATATTCTTTTAAAGATGGACATGTTAAAAATGTAAGTATTCAACTGTAAAGAGCCTAGATTTAGATTAATTGTAATTTGAAAGTTTTAGTTCATGTGATGGAAAATCAACCAGATTAGCTGATATAAGAAAGGGTCCTATATTTATTTTAAAAAGTGTTTTGGAATTAATATTTGTAAAAATATTTTAACCAAAATTAACAATTTTGGTAGCCAAGCATCATTATTTATACTTTTGAAATAGCTGTAGATTGTTATACAAAATAGTTGGTACAGGTACAGTTTTTTTTCTTCCACGAACAAGACACAATCGCTGCCATGGAAAGTTCACAGTAGTTTTGAAATCATTAGGTCTATATATAGCATTCGTTATAACTGAGATTGGCAGTTAAGTCATTTATATTTTATTCAAACAAGCAGTACCATTACCAAACATGTACTTGGAGTCAGGGTGAGGTCACAAGAGCCACAGTTGCTACAAAGAAGGAGGGGGGGGGGGGGGGGTTAGTCTAGTCCTCATTGTCACCTTTTGTAAGGATTTCAAAATTAATTTGAGGTTGTGAAATAAAATGGAAGGCGAGTTGAAATACCAGTTGATAAATTAGATCATAGACTAACAATCATGCAAAACAAGATTTTCTGTACTTTTTGGGAATATATTTAACTGAAAATATCAGTGGTAAATTTTACTTTGACTTAATCTCTATCTGGTACAGTCAGACAGAGTGTAATTGTCTAATTGAAAAGAAATGTTTTTCAATTGTCCGTTTGAATGAAGTGACAAAAAAAAAATGAACAGTAGATCTGGTGTTGGTATGCCAAGTGTAATACTGGATTGAAAAAGGAATGTGTGGAATGCGCATGTTGGCTGTGTCAGTAGAGGTCATTTCTGTTTTTTTCTAAATTTTTAAACTGTAAAAAATTTAAAAAACTGGAAATTTCTGTGAAAATAAACTAAGTGTAGGAAAATTGCAGATAAAGCAGAAAAATCGTATTTTCACTAACATCCATAAAGTCACAATCCTGATATACATACCTATACACATACTTTACATTAAAAAGTTGACCATGCTTGAGAAAGTTATTTTCTCTGTCATGGTGTTTGCCTTTTTGCCACGCTTACAGCTTTATATAAGTCATTAAAAAAAAACTATCAAAGGAGTTTTGTTTCTTACTCTCTTTCAGAATTTTGCATCAATGAGTAAGGCAAGTGTCATTATTAAAAAGCTTTGATGCATGACCAAAAGTATATTTTTTAGGGTGTTTCTTTTCCAAGAACCGTGAAACCAGCTGATCTGATTCCTCTTAACTCAAAGTTTGCTTGTATTTCAAAGCAGAAAATGCGGAGGGCACTTGTGTGTCATGGTAACCATTGTATGTATATATATATATATATATGTATATATATATATATATATATATATATATATATATATATATATATATATATATATATATATATATATATATATATATCCTAAAATATAAAATCACATGTGTGCACTTCACTCTCTCTGTCTGCACATATTTCCTGAGGCTATGTATGAGATCAGTATCTTCAGTGATATATGGAGAACTTTAGTTGAAAATAATATGTTGGATGCATTAAATGTACTAACTAAATTTTATTTAAAGAAGAAAAATTAAAATAAGGGCATATTTGAAAGTAGAAACACATTTTTAATTAAGAAACCGGAAAATGTTAATGGTTGTGACAAGAACACAAAAAATGACGTCATGTCACATCTTAAAACTACGAAAAGTACACAACACTTTCTTTTGTGTTTGGTTTTGTTCTGTTCCCAAGTTGGTACATTTATACAACATTCACCGCGGCGGAGCATGGGTATGCAGCTAGTATATATATATATGGGTTAGTATCAGTACGTAGTACTGAATTAAGTCCTAAAACTTACTTATCTATAAGTATAACTAGTATATAAAGGGTTAGTACAGAAAAAGTTGAAAAAACATGTGATCTTGTCTAAATAGGAAGGTTACTATAGAGATGAAGATATATGGTTTGATGGATATATAGAAAGATCATGAAATTTTACTTACCTATATAAGTTTGTACACCTGGTTCCTTTGAATTATATAAGTAAGTTATTGCAATAGTCATATCAAACATTTTTGATTCAAACAATCGTAATAACCATGACTGTCGAGGAGGTGGACGATTTTTGCTGCGTTGGCTGCTTAAAGGACCTGCTGGTGGTTTGTCAGTGAGATTTCTGTCTTTTAAAGAATTAGACGAGTGTTTCAAAATGTGGAATGGTATTGGAAGACTTAGAGATCTAGAGTCTAATGGTTTAACAGTATCAGAGTTTTCATCTGGTGAAAGTTTATCTGTCCTTGAATCTTCCATGGCATCCATGGCACCTAATGTGGCATTCTGGGATTGGTTCACTTCAAGCAGTGTTTCCTCACTCTGAATTGTTAAGTTATATTTTGAAATATCCAAAGAATTTTCTTCATGCAAAATCTCATTTATCTGTGGTAATGGGCTAAAATCTTTCAAAGAAGAAGATGGTGAAGAGGATGATGGAGATGATGTTGTAGAGGATGAATTTAAACTCATAATCATTGTGCTGTTCACTAAATTATGAGTGTTGAAAGAATAAACATTTGGGCAACTCTCAGTAGTCTCGTTTTTCAAGTTGGAAAGTAAATCATTTTTTTCAACTGAAGATGAGGTTAGACTATTAATACTTGGAGAATTGACAGAGTCACTGAAGATTTGATCTTCATCAATTTTCTCTAACGATCCTTCAAAACTGCCATTGTTGGATCCTCTTCTTTTTTTTGTAATTAAGTTGTGCATGTCCTCTCCTGTAGCAGTTGATAACACTCCCATGTGAGTGTTAAAACACTTATGACAGGTAAGAGAATGAAGGGCACCATCAGTTACAACGTATGGTAGACCTGATTCTTTTTCAAGTGCTTCCAGGTCTAATCCCTCTTGAGTCATAAATCCATTAATTTCACAGAGGCAAGTTTTGCCAGGCATATTTAAATCAGAACTTTTATGATAATTCCCATTTACTTCCAGTTCCCTGCTTGAATTTGTTAAAGTATTAGGGGTCAGGTATAAAGGATGATATATTGGAAGAGAAAGTGGGTGACTTGGTGGCGCTATTGATGTTGGATGCAGGTTATGGTGTTTAACAGTTTTATGCACTTGAATATTAGATAAGCAGTGATATGTGTCTTTTAGCTCAGCAGCCATCACAGGTAATTCAAAAAGATATGCTCTAAACTCCAAAACACTTGTGAAGACATTTTAATTATGTAAAAACTGTAACAACTTGTCCATATAAAATATTGTTTCAAATCTCTTTGATAAAAATATAGTTCTGAAATGTAAAAAAAAATTCAAAACTTCATAAATACATAGAACTGTATTTTCTTACGAGAAATATACATCATTTTTTGCACAAATTTTTAAAAATATGAGTCTGTTCACCATGAATTTATGTTCTAAAATCTAAATAATGATTATTGTGGGTAATACTGCAGGTTAAGGTCTAGACTTCTTTATATCCCATAACCAGCTAGCGTCCAACTTTTGGGATGCTTGTAAAAAAAAATGACTGAAATTTATAAACAACAATTTTAAACACAAAATATGTTTCATTTGTATTTGGAAATGATTAGACTATTAAAATTGTGTATATTTTGTGAAAATTTTTAATTTAGAATATAGTTGTAGCACCGGTTTTTGCAAGAATTGTCAAAATGGCAGAAAAAATAAAGCGGGAGTGATCTCCCCTACACTTTCTCAAATATTCTTGAATAACACTATGGGGATGGCAACTCAGAATATTTTTTTTGGCACGATTACAAAACTTGCTCTATACTTCGTATAAGAGAAAGTAAAAACACAAATAAGAGCATATCTTCTTAAATATTAATATTTTAACTCCAAAACACAACTAAAACTTGTAGCAGTACCATGTAATAAAAATCTAAGATTAACAATTTTTTTTACTACTTCGTTATATCAAGTTAAGTAGGATGCTGGCAACAAATGGCATAATGTAGATTGTTTCACAAAAATCCTATTTATGGGACACTAGCAAAAACACACAAGTAAATGTTTATGATAAATGGTTATTTATGATGAAACAATGGTTATCTGTGTTAACTGTTGACTTTGGGGTGTAAAGTAGTATTTATTGATATTTAATTATGACCTTGACATATACATTAGTTATATATTTTTGTATAAAAAGTTGAAAATAATTTTATTGAATAAAAATGTACATTTTCTTTTCTTTCTTAGGTGTCAGAATATCTTTGAATAAACTTTTTTAGAATTGGTTTGAATTCACCAGCCACATTAATTAGAATTATAACAAATGAGATCACGATTTAGGTGAAAAGATTCAATCATTTGGTTCTGTTAGCAACAGTTTGGAAATACTGATCAACTCTGTCATATAAGGGAGCTCATACTATATATAGCAGAAATGGGATTTGATGATGTACTTTTGTCATGCCCCAATAATATTCCCCTCCCAAGTTTCCCCATACCAGTTTTACTTTGCTAATTTTTCTGAGACTTTTTAAGGAGATTGCAGGTGCTAGATTTGGAATTGTTTGAATAGAGAGGTGCATTGTCTTATTATAAGAATTGGAGTAGGGTCTATTTAAGTAACAACTTAAATTTTTTTGATACTTAGCAATGTTTTTACTCTTTTACATACATAAACAAAAGAACATGAAGAAAATATTAAATACACGCACATTGCTAAAACATATTAAACAGATCAATGTCAAATTATATTTTTTAATTCCTAGAAGAATTGATTTATTTCAAGAACAGTAGAGTCGAAAAAAAAATAATCAATTAAAATGTTTAATAATTATGCCAGGGGAGGTAATTTAAAAAGAAACTCAACTCACACTAAATATTGCTATTAAAGTATTCAAGCTAAAAAAATTTTTTATTCCTACCGCATTGTTTATTGTGTGGCATCAAAACGGCCCTGTCAAAACAATCTGACATAAGAGCCCCTTTAAATTGAACCTGTCAAAAGGGCAAGTGACAAATGGACCCCATCATATAGGCGCCCGACAAATAGGCTCATAACGTATATGCTGCAGTCAATTTGGCTCTAGACAAAACAGCTCCCGCAATTACGACTCCTGACAGTGGGACCCCTACATCACTATTCTTTAGAGTAAGCTTAGCCAACACACAAGTAATACAATGTATGCATCTCTTGGTCGGAAGGCCTTATTTTTTATATTGTTTAACCTAGTATAAAAAATAGTATGCAGGGGTGCCACTCATTTTTCAAGCGCATCCTGAAAAGCAATCCCCTAATTTTACCAGCCCTGAAACCAACATATGTAATAGTTTTAGACCCATTTCTACCCCATAATGTGTTATTCTACCATAATGTGTTTTTAAGGTTACCTACCCCACTCTCCCAAACTTTAAACTATTAAAATAATTTATTAACATAAGGAAACTATTTTTTCCAACACAAAACGTATTTGTTCACGATCTAATATCATTGTTTTTAATTAAATTATTATTATTAGTCGTATCAGTTAAGCATAATAGTGATAATAATATAAAAGTAATGTACTAATTTAGGTCTGCTGTTATTGAGTAGCCTAGACCAGGGGTCGGCAACCTTTTGAGACGGAAGAACCAAAAGGTACAATTTACTAAATTTTAAAATTCGCTGGGGTGGCGTCCCAGCAGGGAGCGATACAGTTTATAAAAATAAAAGACGATAGCGGGTTGACACTGTTAAACCGATCGCCAGGTAATTTTGGGGAGTTGATTAAAACACTCCAGGGGAGGTTTCTGCACACACAAAAAATCATTTTTAATTTCGCAAGGGCGGCGCCCAGGCAGGGTGCGGTATATAAAAACATAAAAAAGTCTGATGCAGTTCGACACCATTCATCCGATTTCCACGAAACTTTGGAGAGTAAATGAAAATACTCCCGAGAAGATTTCTGCGGAAAAAAAAATTTCTTATGGGCAGCGCCCAGGACGGTGCGATATTTGTCCATACACGGTTTGGCGCCCAGATTTCCCCAGCGGCCATTTTAGCCCTTGGCATTGGGCGTTCTAGATAGCGGGTAAGGGGTACTAATATATTCAGCTGCAAAACTGCAACTGGCGCAGCTGCAAGCACCATGTCCATTGCGTGAAACGAAGTGCCCCGGGCTCACCTGCGAGCCCTAAGCGCCTACGTTCCTTTAAAAAAAGGGCTACACACTAAAGACACGATGGGCAACAATAATCGCTGACTTAATCGAACAAATCAGACGCGCACTTGGCGCACGGCAGGGGGCGATTTGGCGCCCGGGGCTTACCCTGAGCACCATGCCGCCTACGTTCATTTTAAATAGCGCGATAGGCTGTCGACACAATGAGTTGGTATAGTCGCTCACTAATTCGTATCAGGTGCGTCCTCCGGCTGCTCAGCAGAGTGCGATTTGGCGCCCAGGGCTATCCCTACGTTAGTTTTGAGGAACACACTACAATATTGATAATGCGGCACATGATATTCAATGATTAAACCGAGCTAGGGGCTCTACGCGGTGCCCCAGCGATAGCGTCACTTTCCGTCCCTGACACTTAGGCGGTCATTGATCAAAGGTGATAGTACGGTGAGTGATTAACTTAAACTCAAGACTTTTATACAGCATGTCCCATGCCGTACTGGGAGGTAATATAGGTAAACCCGAGCCCGGATAAATATGATCCAAGCACAAGCATTGTTTACAATTAAATAACTCAGTTTTAGAAAACAAGGAAGTACATTGAAATTGGGAGTAACTAAATGTTCTAATATAATTGCAAGTGTTTATTATTTATAGGTATTATTATATCGTTCATTACTGAGTGTTGCGACTAATACTTTTTTTAATTTTAAAAATAAAATAATGTTTAATATTTGTGCATGGAGCTGAAGAGCCGCACCTTGACATCAAAAGAGCCGCATGAGGCTCGCGAGCCGCAGGTTGCCGACCCCTGGCCTAGACTTATTTACCCTAGGTCCTAGTTTTAGTAAATAGTGCTTTGGAAACAATAGGCTACTTGAAAAAACACTTTGGAACCAAAAATTAAAAAAAAAACACTATAGGTTGTAACCACACCATTATTTATGCTTATTGCTAAGAAACTTTAGTCTGCTATTTAAATTACCAGTCTCCCTCCCCATTATGGTGGAGGGGTCACTGTGAGGTCACAGTAGTCCAGACATGGGAAAGCTAATATGTCATAGCATGAATTGTACCTAACTGCCCCACTAAACAAACAGTACCAACTACGTACTTGGGGGCAAGATGAGTTCACACAAATTTAGATATCAGTGATCGTAGTTACGGGTTAGTCTAGCCCCTAATCTTCAGCATTTGTAAAGATTTCAAAACAGTTTTATGAAAAGTGAATTAAAAATTTTAGACTGTTGGTGACGTCATTACTAATAAATTATCTACATGAACGAAAAAAAAAATAGTTGGGTTTTTTAATTCTTGGTTAATTGCAAAGTTAATAGGTAAAGGCTAATAGTTTTCCTTGTTTACAATACGAGCCAGATCTAAATAAAACTGCTTTACGCGCGATCCTAGTATCTAAGAAATTTTTTAAGATGTATCACTTGACTACACGAGTTCACGGTAAGGTCACATTAGACCAAGAAAAAAATCATAAGTTGCAGTGACCAAGATGTCCGAGTGCTGTCGGGTAGACTAAGGTTAGAAATGGTTAGATATGCATTTATAAATGTTAATTTAGTTCCGCTAAAATGGTTTCCTGCTAAAAACGACTGTCTATTGGATAATGACTACTGCTTTCGAACTTTACATTCTGATTTTTTATCAAGATTCTATTAAAATTTTTTTCAGTGTCAGATGAGAATACAACAGTGGCAGCGTAAAAATGACGTCATGTCAATGTTGATTACTAGCCGAGCCTTCACAGCAGTGGACATTGTACCATCTACGCATGCGCGAAAGGTTAAGAGCCATAAGCTGTAAAAATGCTCAGGTGTCTTGCTAATTAAAACAATTCTCAAGTTTAGAACTGTCTTTATTTCTATAAAACTGAAAACCTGGAAATTTTAAAACTCAAATTTTGCGAATCCGGAAATGAAAAAAATACTATTCTCGAATCCGGAAATCGGGGATATCCCGGAGAGTGGCATCCCTGAGTATGTTTAAAATATAAGTTCATCATGCTATGACTTCCATAAATGAGTCGGTTGTAGGCTGTTCCAACTCAGTGTGTGGGGAGAGAGGTCTACGCTGTACATTCATACCTGTAGTATGCTTGTAGGCTATCAAGACAAAATGTTATCCTGTAAATATCATGTTTATCATACCT